GGAGATTTGACTCCAAAGGGGGAGATTTTTAAGATAGTGAAGATAAGATAATTTCCAACTTTTATTTTTAATAATGTTACAAAGAAAACCAAATATTTTGAAACAATAAATAATCAATAAGTTTCTTATACGTACAGCTTGCTTAATTTCCGTTTGGATTTTCCTCCTCCAAAAATAAACCCAGCACAATCTACCCATATAACTTTCGTTCAAAGATCATCTCAGATAAACGCAAACAGATATTGAAATTTCACAATCGGTAGCTTGACCAGTTGACGACGTGTTCAATCCGACCAGTTGTCAGGCTTCGTTACGATGCAGGTTTTCTGAGTATTTGGCGCGATGTTGGTTACAAAATTCGCCAAAGAAATATCAAATGCCTTTATCCTGACGCAACATCATCGCCCTTAATTTCAATAAGATATACTGGGTTTTTTTCTGTCTGCGGTAGTCTGTTGACAGTCCCATTACTTCGCTCCTTAAATTTCCTAGAAATGTTCACGTTATTCCATTCCAAGAAATGTATGCCATATTTGGAAGTACTATTACGTTTTACTACAATTTATGAATGAAATGAGTCTCGTTGTCGTTGTTGACCTTTCTGACCTTGATGTGTATTAATCTCATTGGTTGACTAGTACTGTTGTATGCAAATTAGATTGCAGATCAGGGACACAAGCAAACTATTAGCCAATCAAATCGTGTAAAATAATCACATGATACATTATCGCGAAATTTGATAAAGTTCTGTTTTGATATTTTCTGTGCACACAAGTCACGATGTCAGTCAAAAGGAAATTTATAAGTTTCACTTTAAACTTTGACTTTGAAATCCTAGCTGTGAGGAAGCCTGATCGTGTAACTCATTGTTATTTCGACTACCGAATCAACCAATCACGCATAGTGTTGTTTCTGAAGACGGCGCTTGCAGGACATATTTTGTTTTCATTTCCAAGAGTTCAATGACGTAACTTTGAGGTATCTTGATGTTTTAACAAAGTTTCTGACAAATCTGATAACCAATAAAGTTATGTATAACTGGACTGGCCATATGTATCTACGTTCTTAAATTATGGAAGAATAAACACGCTAAGAACACGATGACAACAGTTCATTTCATGAAGTGATGAATACTTGGCTGATTTTTCATTTCAAGTTCAACCCTTCAGGCACCTGTTAGGACTATCCGAGTTTTCTTAACAGTTTACATTGTTCAATCGTTCACCATATGAATTTAATTACCAGTTGATTAATGGACAAAGGCCCATCTGGGTCCCCCTGCGGGTGGCTGTGATAAGGGTCGCTAATCCGGGAGCCTACCGGACAGATCGGGACGCAAACTTCCCGTTCATTGTTTTTACTCACAGGACAATGGAGGCGAATTTTTTAAAAAATGAAAAATTCTGTTTTGCGGGAGAAATAGTCCATCTCGCGGGAGACTGGGAGATTTCATCAAATTGCCGTTAGTCACCTCTTAAGACAAGCATAGTTGCCTTTTACGGCAAGCATGGGTTGATGAAGACCTATTCTACCCCAGATCTTCACAGGTCTTTTTTTCCCCCCCCGAATGAACATCAGCAGTAAGGATAGCAGTTTCATTTCAATCCAACAATGATACTATAACCTTTCTCCATGTTCTATTGTTAAGTAATTCTGTAAATTAAAACATGGGCCAACAACATGCATAACAATGTTATCATGGTTATAAATATGTCAAAAAGTAGAATTAAACTGAAGCATATATTTTTAAAATTCTGTCAGTACTTTCCAAGCTCAGTAAATACCCATTTTCTATTTCTTTTAATGAACAAGCTTATTTTTAGTATTACACTTTTTTCAGTTGTACCATGGCAACAACATGTAACACTGTGCTTTGAGCAAAAAAAAGTACATTCAAAATAAATTGGGCATCATCAAATTGAGTCTTCATTTTTCCTCTGATTTTTGTTCGGAAGTGACAGTAAATCTTAAATTGAAAAACCAAAGTGACTCCAAAATACACAAGGGATGTCTTGTTTGTTTGTTTCTTGTTTACGCTGCGCTCAGCAATATTCCAGCCGTATGACGGCCATCTGTAAATAATCTAGTCTCGACTTGACAATCAGGTGATTAACGATCCATACCGTCAGGGTGTGAGAACACGCTAACAACAAAATCAGCAAGCCTGACCAACCGATCCTGTTTAGTCACCTCTTCCAACAAGCATGGGTTGCTGAAGACCAATGGTAACGCGGATCTTCCCGGGAGCAACAAGGGATGTAACAATATGCTGCCATTCATTACATCACAATACTCTAAGACACAATACAAGTATCAAATTGTATCATGAGATCATTCATCAATAAAAAATACATTACAACTAAAGAGTATAAAGAGTCCATAAAAAATGGAATGAGCACTGACTGCAGTGCTATTTCTGTCGGTAGGCGTAAGAGTGAGTGAGTGAGTATGGCTTTACGCTGCGGCGGGGGACACCAGAAATGAGCTTTACACATTATAAACATGTTGGGAATCAAACCAGGGTCTTCGTCGTGATGAGTGAACACTTTAACCACTAGGCTAACAATCGCCCCCAGTATGTGTAAGAGGACTGAAGCTACTCAAATCTACTTAACATGCTTTGGTCTGGCTTCTCTTCATTTCCTTTGATGCCTGAAGATCTGACAGAACAAGGCACAAGTTTCATGTATTGTGTATCTTGACCTTACTATTGAGATATGTATCACAGCACCCCAGAATAAATTACCAAACACTCAAAAACAACTTGAAAAAGAAGAGTTACATCGCTTTTAATAGATAGCTTAATGTTACCATAGTGACTGTCGACAAAAGATGTTAATCTCTGTAAATGCATTCTACTTTTTACCATAGTAACTGTTTAAATGCAAAAAATATGTTAATCACTGTAAAGGCATTCTTCATCAAATTCAAACTCACCAATAGAGGGCATTAGAGGCATACAGAAGTTACTCACAATATGTTGACTATTTATCATGTTTATTAACACATTTATCATAAATACTTCTCAAAGAAGTTAAGGAACACCCTATTTTTTTTTCATAGGAAAACATAATTTATCACTGTTCGAAATTAAGCATGAATGTCAAAGGGTCCTTGTCATATCTCTAATGATAAAGTAAATAGATTGGCAGAGCTCTTTGATTCAAATACCATAGAAGACCTCAGGAATTCCCTCATTTCAGTAACTGTTTGTACACACTCTAACCTCTTCATTATACATTTCATCACATTAGACCCACAGTGAAACCCTATTAATCTGGATGATTCCAAGTAACATTGTCTGGATTAACAAATTTCCAGATGAACATGATTAACAAATAGAGGCCTCTAGTAGCGACCCTCTTATTATATATCAGTGAGTGAGTTCCCAACAGTACACATCAGGAAAGCAGGTTTCAGTACTTTCCAAACTAACATGATTTCACTGTAAGTGCTATATTATGTACACATATTATGCACCTCTTGATTTAATGAACTTGATTTAACTTGTACCAGGTGCATGTTGACATGAAAAGCTAGTTGCACCAGGCAAAACCAGTTAGCAACCTGGTCCCATGAATTTATCAAAGTTGAAACATGGATGTATAAATTAGTCAAAAGAAGTAAATCTTAGATCTGTGATGACTGTGTCATGAATTAAAGATAACACAGGGATTAGTGAAATAGTATGGTAAATAAAGCTTAGAGGTACTAGAATCTTCATGGGTCTCTTGCATGTACATCATGTGCATATAGCATGTATAACAGACATAAAAACAAGCAAACTGCCATAGTTACAACAGGCAATTAATATTTACTGAAGCAGGGGGGAAACAACAATCAAGGCTTAATCAAACATGTTTTATAATTGATTTTGGCTAATTTGTTCATAAATCACCAAAAATTGGGTAAGAAAACTACTAATGATGACTTTTCAACAATCTCTGACAAGTAGCTATTTTGAACCTTTCAAGGATTAATAATATGGGAAAGACTTCAGCCTGTATCCGCCCTCCAGAAGTTATATCTCCTATGCATAGCTGCTCAATCCTTTTTATTATATAAATTTTGAGGGGGGATATGGGAAAGACTTCAGCCTGTATCCGCCCTCCAGAAGTTATATCTCCTATGCATAGCTGCTCAATCCTTTTTATTATATAAATTTTGAGGGGGAATACGGGCGGAAGTTTTCGAAATATGCACAGATATGAGAATATGACATGATTCCTATCTGTATCATGGATCTGATTTTACAAAATTATCTGTAGAACATCTAGTTTAAATATGAGTTGCAATTTTAGCATTCATGAATTTCATAAGAATATGGAAGATCAATAAGATTAATACACAATAAGCAGATATCCTAATTAGGGCAGTGATCAGAACCACAGCAGACAGCTCGTCCACATGTACCATACATCATACAGTCAGAATGTATCTTAATAAGTTTAGCCTATGTTCACCACTTCCCTAACTTATTTCAAAATCACTACTAGATCCTACTTTTGAACAGGCATTATTTAATAATTAATAATAATCATACGGTAAGAATGTATATGCATACGACATATACAACATGCTTGTTAATCTCAGCTAATGGAAGGTAGAATTCATCCTTCTGAAATTATTGTTACACTTCATCAGTCTAACACACATTATAAGGTTACAATGGTTGTGTTTTGTATGACATCTATAACAAATAGAAATCTTCAACTAAGTTATTTATCACAAGTATAAACTAGGCTAGAGTAATGAATCATTTTTTTAAGTCAATGCTGGCAGGTACTTCTGTCAGAAGTACTGACATGAGAAGTTGACGTTTTTTCGTTTCCTCGATCAGTAACAAAGCGTTAGAATAATCTGTCCTATTTGGCAATATGCTGCTGCTTGAGGATCTCAAATCAGAGCAGAATGAATCATACGTGATGGCAAGATGTTGAAGCATTGTTTTGATGGAAGTCAAAAAAGGGCTTGTCAACATGAAATCTTGTTAAACTTACCAATATTTCACTAAAGCTGTGACCTGCAAAGGGTTCGGCTGAGTAGGGTAAAGTCTCCGACATGCTGAATAAATTGCTTCCAATCCCGGTGGAGTCAAAGCAACGCCGGGCGTGGACGAGTAACTACCCGTAGACGAGTAGAAGTTCTCTCTCTCCTCCATTTTAGCTTCACTGTGGCATCTGGCTCTTCCGTTGTCTCCCTTCGGTAATTAAAGTGATCGAAATATGGTTGATTCCACACTGCTGCAATCCTAAGTGACAGTTCGTTTACATATATTCGTAAACTGTCTGTTAGCAACAAAGTTGTCCCTTTATATGTGTCTTGCACCACTAGCAATACAGTGACCGGCAACAAATAGTCATTTCGGTCGGCGTACCTGATTGGTGGAACAGCCAAAACATCTTCCGCTGTTGGACCACCCATACAGTCACGCAGTGACGTTACTTATAGGATTAGTTCATTATTGATTTTCCTCGTATATTTTCAGAGTTACAACGAAAGAAAATGTTCAACTAACTTCAAAATGTAATAATACTGATAAAAAGTAATTATTTATAGTAATTTGATTGAAAAAATACATACTCAGAACAACTAGTTGTTATTTCTTAAAATACTTCCTTCGGGAAAATGATAAGCGTGCTATCTTTCTTTCGGTATGTACATCTGCAAAACTGTAATAGGGTTTATCAGACAGAATTTTAATACGTTATGTGAACGACACTGAAGTACAACGTAAGTAAAAATGTATGACAAATAACATGTACAGATATTTTGTAGTTGTGACAACGTGTTCCGCTTGATTAACAATAGACACACAGTAACAATTAGCACATGTCGTTAACAAATACCACAAGTTGATTGTTTCCGTCACACTAATTGGAAGCATATTACTGTAGCCAATGAGCTCGGCTATGTTTGGTTTGTTAACGAGTTCAATCGACTATTAAGTTTGCTTGTTTACGGTGTTACAACGGTAGAGTACACTGGATAGTAACCTTTGAGTGTGAATTGCAGAATGATATGTTATCCATAGACAGGTTTCATTTTCGATTTGTATTTTTGCAGTATGTTCGAAATAAATATCGGACCCAACCATGCTGAGGTCATACAGAAATAATTACTCATTTTCTCGATTTTATTACATAAATTCAAAATAAATCGATGACGAAATATTTTTGTTTTCTAAATAACGGCATCTCCTAGGTTTCTAGTTTCAGAATGAAAAACTCGATTATTTTTTTAATTTGTGTTTACGTCCTTTGAGGACTTGTCATTGATATTTTTGCCCCAACAGTTCATTTTTTTTGTCCAGGGAGGTAAGGTAAATAAACTTGTATTTCATTCTATACGTTCTCTCATCTCAGACAGATTTGATAATGAATTATTAGAAACAATGTGATTGCATGTATATAAAGTTTATCTTTGTTCAAATGGTGTTGTTTTAGAGAAATGTTTTCATTCGCCATTTGCTATTTTATATATCTCGCTGGTGAGTACGTTAGTTATCAAATTGTGTGTTTTATTTTAAACGGCATTAAGAAACCAAATGATATATATGCATCATTGAAAACACAGATAGTCTGTTGTACAAATACAGTACAGTTATTAACACTCATAGTAATAACTAGTTTCCTCTCCTTGAATGACCTATTAAGTAAGTTTAACTGCAATCGTAAAAACAACCATCAAAAATGATTTTATTCAATAGAATGCTTAAAATTCGTCCCATTATTAAATGAGCTGTAACGAACATAGCACAATGACAAATGTACCCACAATGCAGTCTATCCGGAAGTTCTATGATCATTAGGAAAAGACTGGTTGGTTCGATAAAAGCGAACAAATAAGACAGAATAAACTGTCTTTATGGAGTCTTACGATGTAATTGCAAACCAGCCCGTTGTCATAGACAATGTAAGTTTGTTGAAATGCAATCAGTTTCATTCTCTGAGCTCTGGATCGCGCACAAACCTACTTAACGTCTGCTAGACCTGTCAGTCGTCCCAACTCGTCTCCGGGCACTTGTTGGCTTTGAAATGATATGTGAAAGATGTGGATGACTCATACATTCATATGTTTGTAAATACTGTGCAATTGCAATTAGTGTGTATATTGTATCTTAACATTTGGTCTCCTTACACTATTTTGATAGGTCAAATGACATTAACTGTCACACTTTTCTCACATGGTGTCATTAATTCAACCTGTCAGATAACATTCTTTTGACATTTGGTCATGTATCGGCATCAGGTGTATTTAATTTGTATTAAATCTCCGGGTATTATCATTAACTGTGCCTGCATGTTATTGAACACCCATAAATGAGTACTGGTGCACTGTTTGTATGTTGCATCTTTCTCTGCACCTTGACCATACATATATATACTGCCTCTGTGTTTTTTGTGGTATGGCATGTATCGGCATCAGGTGTATTTAATTTGTATTAAATCTCCGGGTATTATCATTAACTGTGCCTGCATGTTATTGAACACCCATAAATGAGTACTGGTGCACTGTTTGTATGTTGCATCTTTCTCTGCACCTTGACCAACATATATATACTGCCTCTGTGTTTTTTGTGGTATGGCATGTATCGGCATCAGGTGTATTTAATTTGTATTAAATCTCCGGGTATTATCATTAACTGTGCCTGCATGTTATTGAACACCCATAAATGAGTACAGGTGCACTGTTTGTATGTTGCTTCTTTCTCTGCGCCTTGACCATACATATACTGCCTCTGTGTTTTTTGTGGTATTGTCCGCCCGGAGAGTGTAATAAAGGTGCAACAACTTTGGATGTGACTTAAAACCCCATTTCACCTTTCCATGCTTATAAGGCACATATGTTATGAGGATAATATTAGGCATACTACTTGTATCATATATGTTCTCAAGAAATTAAGGATGTAAATTTGTATTTGTTAGTAATTTGATTATCTGTCACAAGATCATTCCTCAAAAGAATTTATCAATATTTACATTGGAAACAGTTCTATTTCTTGTTATGTTAGTTTATAAAATAACCTACAACAAAAACTGAAAAGACTGATAAATGGCAAAAATCAAACTAAAACACCTAGTTTTCTGGATTCATTTGTTGCCTCCTTCTTACAGCGTTCGAGTCCTAACATGTGCACAGTTATATTTGTGAACATGGTGAATGCCTCTCCTGATAAAGTGTAAACACAACTGGTCATATCTAACTGATCATCAGATAATTTCGCACTAATAGCTTATGTAACATTACTAGATTTGGAGAGATAACATCTAGTCCCTCTAGATTTTCACTAGTCTCGAACTAACAGACTAGTAGCCATGTATATCCCTATTGATTTACAACCACAAGGTGTATTTATGATGTGCCTGCAAGTTTGCTATGGTTAGCATTAAACTGTACACACACTTTGCAGTACAGTGGATAATGTTGATGCAAATACTGATGCTATATGATTAAGTAACCATGTTTATCATCATCATAATAACATGAACAAAAAGTAAGTATATATTTGTAACAAAACGTTTTTAATTTCTGTTTTAGGGGTCTGGAGTGATCAAAGCTGGTTTTGCTGGAGATCAAGTTCCTAAATACATATTTCCAAACTAGTAAGTTGACCTGTTGACTGATATTTTAGAACCATGATCAGTGTGTTAGACAGTAGTTGTAGTGGGTACTAATGCAGGGTTAGAAGGCCCTTTCTGAATGACTCACAGGGATACATTATCAAGTTATGATTTGATTTTCCCTATGTTTGCAAAACATGTTCATTTTGAACATGTTGAAAGACAGTTAAACTTAGTACATCTAAAATAATGTAGGCATTGAAATTCGCGCTAGCCTGCTAGCTCGAGACACTTTGCCAAAGATATATCACAATCGTCCCAGGGATTTAATATATTCGACCAACAGCAGTCCACTTTAAATATGTTTCAGCAACTGTTTTCCTTAGTGTACAGGCTGTGTAAGGAAAATGTTTTAAGCCCATGTAAAATTTTCAGTTTGACCATTTGGCCTATTGACCAATATTGGCAGTGGTCTACTAATCAATCATGTGATTGGTTTACTCATCCTTTATATGCCGAAATTTAGTATTATTGATCACGCAATCATTATGTTGATAATAACATCAACTGATAAATAACAGTCATGTAATTCAAGAATTATAACAATGATTTCTGAATTTCAGCTTTAGCCATGCTAGTTACATGTCTTTAGTTTCATAGTTCTGTTTTTGTTTGATTGGCAGAGTCTATTTTTATACTGAACTATGAATCTGTAGTTAAACCTATCAAATTTTCATCAATACAAAGTTCCAGTTACTGGTAATGAACAAGTTATGTATTTTGTATTGAAAAAATTAAGTAGGAATATTAATATACACGTGATCAACACTATTGAATTTGAATTAGTTAAAATTTAGCGTCACATCTGTATAATTCCGCCATATTGAATTTAAAGGCCTCATGAACAATTTAATTGAATCATAACTGGACATTAACTGTCTACAACACTAATAAAAAAATGCAGGTAATATACGTAATGTTAATCAATACGATCTGATGTCGACAGTAGCACTTTGTGCAGTGGGAGTATGAGCCAGGCAGCCATTGTTCCAATGTCATCGGTAGTCTATATGCAGCTGCTGCAACATGGTATTGATTTGTTATTCTCTGTTTCATTTCATATAGATTTTACTAACATGTACACAATACATCTGCTTGGCTGTACTGATCAGGTAGCGAGTGGGAATAAGCCGAGTGTGGAGCTGGCAGGGTTGATAATCACGATTCTAGCCCATTCAGTTTCTTGAAAATACATTCTCATACTTTGATTGTTTTATGATTTTGAAATAGGATCCGTTTTCTTTCGAAATGTGAGAAGATTATTATGTTCAATAAATGATCACTATATACGCTACCACTATTTGTTTGAAATAATTTTTAAACCCAATCTCATTAAAATCAGATCTTAGTTCTCGCTACCGCTAAACAAAGATCTGAGGACATCCCATTAGGGGTCACGTCAGAATGACCTTTCATCCGACCAGATCATGAAAGTGACAGTCGGAATGTGATTTCTAATCATGCAGCCTCGAAAACGTTAAAACGGGGTATTCAGAACGATTGTTACGTCCTTAGCGACTGAATCTATACAATCTAGACCATATATTAGCCATTCTAGAACATTCTTTTGTTCAGGTTTCAAATTTTTAAGCGAGAATTTGTCAAAATATGTTTCGAAGCGTAGTCGCCAATTTGAAAACACGAGAAAGCTGCCTTCTGATTGGCTAATGTCGACTTCTTGTCAGTAATTCCATGTCAGTCGGTCAGAGTTTGCCAAAGGTCGGTCTGACGTGACCCATAATGGGATGTCCTCAGATCTTTGTTTAGCGGCAGCGAGAACTAAGATCTGATTTTAATGCGATTTGGTTTAAAAACCTAATGAGATAGTCGGGCCCATAAGTGTTCTCTGCCCATCTTCAAAGTTACCTGCCCACATTCAGACACTATATATATTGAAAAATTGCAACAAAAAAAGTAACTGACAAATTTCATCTTGTTTTAGTTGTAATAATGCAAACAATTACTTGAGAGTCTACAAGGAGTTACAATATAACTGAATACATAAGTAGTCTTAAAATTATCTGCTGGACAGTTGGGCAGGTGGAGGATAATATCATGCAGCCCGACAGAAAAGTTACCTGTCACGGGCAGTCCGGCAGGCAGTTATTTCCGACACTGTTAACTACTCAACATGTGATCAGGATACTGAGATATTACATACTGACTGACCTAACGCGATGACAACAATTTCCGTTGTGAAATGTGTAACCAACTTGAAATGAAGATGCACATGCTTTTGTTCCATGGCAAATTTGAATACTATTCCAAGCAATCAGTCACATTCACACCACATCTGGTGACTCGCAGTCCCTGTCAAAAGGACCTGTCATGTAACTGTTTATGGGGCTCAAGATGGCAAATTATTTGTCTGAGATCTGATTTGTTGTATTTTGGAGCCAAGTTGAACTGAGTTGAATTTTGGCGTGTGAGTCCATGTTGATGTTTGTTAGGCTGAAGGAATCGTCAATATGTAATTGTATGTTGAGATGTAACTGCAGCCTTAGAATCTTTCTGGTCCAGAGGATTAGTGGAGATCTTAGTCCTCGGAGTTTATGGCTAGTCCTGCTTGAACAAGACAACAATGTTTACTATGTCAGTCTTGCCAAAAACCTTTGAGTATACAAGCCTAAACTCAGCTATGCATCATGTTTAGAACATTTTAGGGGGCGGTCGGGTAGCCTAGTGGTTAAAGCGTTGGCTCGCCACGCCAAAGACCCGGGTTCGATTCCCAACATGGGTACAATGTGTGAAGCCCATTTCTGGTGTCCCCCGCCGTGATATTGCTGGAATATTGCTAAAAGCGAAGTAAAACCATACTCACTCACTCACTAGAACATTTTAGTGTTATTACTTGTATATGGATATTATTAGCTGAAGCTGAACAGAATTTATCTAGACTCGGGCTTCAGACTAGTGGCTGGTGTCACAGACTGCTATGTTTACATTTTGTCAGTTTTGTTCACTTCCAGTTTGTAGAAAACTTGAACCATTGAGAACTGGGTCAGAATTATAGCCTTTAATTGTCAATGAGGACTGCCATCATTGGTCATTTACTTGTCCACAACACAATTTTGTTGTCTCGAGCTAGTGGGCCAGCGTGACTTTTGAAGGTTTAACTGACCAGTACTGATGACGCCACTGTATGGTTTGTGCTTTGTCACTATGAGTGCAGGTGTATATCTAGGATTTTAAACTATGTTTCCCTGGCAGGTGAATTGAGTATTATGACTTTTCTTTTCTCCAAAATTGGGTATTTAGCATGGCTTGCACAGCCATAGTCCACCAGTTATCTTTAGCCTTGAAGTCCTTTTGAAGAGTGAGAGAATTTGGTTTTACGCCGCTTTTAGCAATATTCCAGGAATATCACGGCGGGGGACACCAGAAGTGGGCTTCACACATTGTACCCATGTCGGGAATCGAACCCGGGTCTTCCGTGTGACGAGCAAACGCTTTAACCACAAGGCTACCCGACCACCCCTCTTATTGAAGAAATACAAAACAAGAATTACCAGATTTTTTGTATATTATGGCCCTATATAATAGCCTGAATTGAGAATTTTGATACTCCAATTTTGGAACTTTACCATGTTTACTATTACTAATATTTGCCATACACCTGGCGCCAGATAACAGCACCTGGGAATGTCTAGATAAGACGCTCCAGTGTTTCGTGATGCTGACAATGATAATGCTAATAAATGCAACTTTCCATCTTGCACACTTTGAGTGAGTGAGTGAGTGTGTTGTAACACCTCTTTTCACAGTATTTCAGTTCAATTACGGCGTGTCAGCTTGATGTGGGAAGGAAGCAAGCAGGTCTTAGACATTTACCTCTGGTGGAACCCACGATCAGCTGTACTTAATTTTGTTTTATTATTTTCACAAATAACGCTTGTAGAGACATTTTTGTGCAACATGCAGAAATCCATGGTCCACTGACAGGCCGTCATGCATACGAGTGACCCCCTCTCAGGTGGTCACTTGTACGCGAGACGGGAGACCCGTCTCGCGTACACGTTACCTCCTCTACTGATCAGTGGTTGTCTGTCATTATTTGATCATGTTAATATGTTTATCTTTACAATGAATAGAAATGTGTTGTGATTTGAAATATTTGTCTTTTAAGCACCCCTTGAAGGATTAAACTGTTTTTAACCGTTGAGCGTATGATTTGCATATAGTCTGCCCCAAGCATGCCATGTGTTGGTCTGTCTGACACAGCTTTATTTTAACTGCCAAGTATTCCTGTCTGGAAACTCAACTACAAGTTGTCTGTGTTTGACTTGCAGCATCGGCCGCCCCAAGCATGTCCGGGTCATGGCAGGTGCCCTGGAGGGAGACCTCTTCCTGGGACCCGAGGCTGAGGTGAGAAGAGAATGGGAGGACTTAGGACCCATCTTGACAGGGTTTAACAGCTTGTCTTAATGCTTGTAATGTTTTGAGAATGGATGCTCGGCCCCAGGGACAAGAGCAATTAGATTGTATTACAGTATGTTTTCATAATACAGTCTGAAAGGTATCTTTGTGAGATGATACAGGCATACTTACATACTTACAGCCTTAATCCTTTCTTGGTGTAAGGGATAAGACCATTTATAAACACACTGATTCAGTGATTGTGTAGATTAAGTATGTAGTGTGGAATGGGGGCATGATTGACCTAAAAAGTGACTTAAACTTGTAAGTTTCTTTATTCCTGCGGATTGAAATTTTCCAGAATTGAAATATTTTTATATATTCAGAGATGCTTCCAGGGTGGTGAGTTTAGCAATCTGATTAAAATCAGATCCTTATTCTCGCTACCGCTAAACAAAGATCTGAGGACATCCCATTACAGGTCATGTCAGAACGACCTTTATCCGACCAATCAGAGCGTTGTTTACCAGATCGGGAAAGTAACAGTCGGAATGTGGTATCTAATCATGCAGCCTCGAAGAGGTTAACATGGGCTATTCTGAACAACAGCTACAAGCTGTAAACTGATTCCATCATAGTCATCATCTGTCTAACATCAATGGGATTAAACATTTAAACGGAAATGGCGTTGAATAGCCTGTGGGAAGTACTGCCATACATTGTCTGCCGCCAGTAAGACATTCCAGAGTTTACTTTTGTTCAGTTTTCAAATTTTGAATTGATATTTTTCTAAACGTAGTCTTTTATGGAAGTTGCCAGTTTGAACCTAGTGCCGTAAAGCTTGAGAAAGCTGCTTTCTGATTGGATAAATTATTATTTGGCATTTTGATGGCTCAGGTAAGATCATTTAAGATAATTAGATACAGAGTTTCAGATGGCCGTCGATCATCGGTCATAGACCGATAAAATGTCAATGTTGACAGATGGTTTGTTTAAGTAGTCTGACTTTTGACCGATAGAAATGATAAGCAAGGCATCCCACATGTTATAATTTCAGCATAAAAAAGTAAATATTAAGGAATAGTAATACTTACAGCATAGGTTTAATAAAACAATGTCCAACTATAATAAATCATCATTAAAATTTTGAGCAGTGTTTCCTTGCATCATACTTTCTGTATCACAGGGGGGGACGGGTGGCCCAGTCGTCTAAGGCGCCGCGATTCGCTGTGCAGAGTTGCGTCCCTTGGTCATACGTGAAACCTATGATTGTGGGTTCGAATCCCGGTTCGCCCCAATTATGTTTCTAGGTTTGTCAGCACCATACCCGTGCTCGTGGGTGTCACCGAAATGATAAACATCTGGATTGGGGGTGGTCGGGTAGCCTAGTGGTTAAAGCGTTCGCTCATCACGCCGAAGACCCGGGTTCGATTCCCGACATGGGTACAATGTGTAAATCCAGTGATATTGCTGGAATATTGCTAAAAGCAGAGTAAAACCATACTCATTCACTCAAATTTGATTGCTCCGAATCATGTTTGTTTATACATATCAGATCTATCATGGTTTATATTTGAATGTTTCATTCTTTGTATAGGAGCACCGGGGTCTGTTGTCAATCCGCTACCCAATGGAGCATGGTATTGTGCGAGACTGGAACGACATGGAGCGGATTTGGCAGTACATTTACTCCAAAGACCAGCTACAGACTTTCTCTGAGGAGGTGGGTGCTAGATTGATGCAAAGCTTTATCTATGTACTACTCCCCTTTCACTATCTGACATATACTGGTCACTGTTACATTGCTATGAATTGCTAGAAAAGTTCTTAGGAGCCTGTTGCTGATATTTACATCAGGCATCAAACATCCTTCATTTGCACATTGTAGAATATTGTGGAAAGTCTTTTACATACCTAGTTCAACCATTTACGAAAATTCACAAATGAATTTGATTGCAATTAATATAAAATGTTTTTGTTTTGAATTATGAACGCGAAACACAATCATGTCAAGTACTTTCTGAACGGTTGTGTAACTTATGTTCTAAAAATAGCAACAGTGACGAGGCAGGGAAATGTTATTGCTTGAATATTGCTTTACGAGGCATGAAACCTCACTCACTCACTGAAGGATCTTGGGTGTGTCTCTAGTTGGATACATACTTCTACCATCTGGCTGTTTCAGCACCCCGTGTTACTGACAGAAGCACCTCTCAACCCCAGGAGGAACCGGGAGAAGGCTGCAGAAATATTTTTCGAGACATTCAATGTTCCAGCCCTCTTCATTTCCATGCAAGCTGTTCTTAGTTTGTGAGTACTTCTGTCTTCATGGTGTAGTATTATGCCTAATTGTAAGATTTTGATGGATTTTAAGAATTTCATTTATCATATTTCGTTGCACTCTAGAGATATCTGGGAATGAGTTTTTGTTTGTTTGTTGTTTAACGCACACTCGGCAGTATTCCAGCTACATCATGGCGGTTTGTACGTACTCTCGTCTGGACCAGACAATCCAGTGATTGACATCATGAGCATCAATCTATGTAATTGGATGCGATGACATGCATCAAACCAAGTCAGTGAGCCTGACCATCCAATCCGGTTTGTCCCCTCTTACGACAAGCATAGTAGCCTCTTGCTGGCAGGCATGGGTTGCTGAAGACCGATTCTAACCCGGCTCTTCATTGGTTGAATGAATTTGTGAAGAACTGGTATGTTGACCCAGTTTCAGATGGAAGCTAAATGACGGGAGGGAAGCATTTCAAACTCCAACCACTAGTCCAATCTTAAATAGTCCAGATTCTTCTAGTCTTGTGATGAGAAATAGGCTGTGCAGAGTTGCTTACGATTCCTGGTTTGCCCTGATTATCTTGCTAGGTTTGTCAGCATCATAACCATGCTTTTGGGTTTCACCAAAGTGGTAATCTACGTTAAGCTAACACTCTGTGATATAATTGGAATACTGTTAAAAGCAGTGTTAAACCCAACTCACTCACTCCTTGTCATGTGCAGTGTGTCCTCATGAAGTTTGGGGAATGCGTCTAGAATTGTACAACTCATCAAGCATCATATGTTGTTTCAGATATGCCACTGGTAGAACAACAGGAGTGGTGCTAGATGCGGGTGATGGCGTCACACATGCTGTACCCATCTACGAGGGCTTCGCCATGCCACACAGTATCATGCGTGTTGACATTGCCGGGCGGGATGTCACACGCTACCTCCAGCTTCTCCTCCGGAAGGAAGGCTTTGATTTCCACACCACTGCCGAATTCGAGGCTGTCCGAACTATCAAAGAAGTAAATATTTTTCCTTTTGTTTTCAGTATTGAGAAAAGGAAGTTCTGGGCCCCGTTCCACAAAGCGATCGTAGCGCTAAGATGATAGTAACTCCCATTCTTTAACATAGACTTACGACAGACTTAGCGCTAAGATCGTTTTGTGGAACGGGGCCCAGAAAAACAATTTGGAATGAAGTATCAATCGATTTTAGAAATTAAATTAAAAATGCATTAATTACTTCATTATTTTTAAAACACTTTTTCAATGGGTAGTTTTGAAGATGATAATGACTTGCTTATTCAGTATTTGTGAATGAACAGTAAGATATGTAGAGAATCTCGCCTAAGTATCTCTTGATATCAATGATATCAACACAAATTGATAAAAGTTTAAAACTCTGAGTCTTTCCGAGGAGTTTTGGACTTTTATCGATGGGTGACGATATTGCATCGGTACTGAGACTAAAATGATTTTCTATAATGTGTGCATCTTCTTGCAGAAAGCATGCTATTTGTCTATCAACCCCTTGAAGGAGGAGAGTATGGAGACGGAGAAAGTGCAGTACTCCCTGCCTGACGGTAACGTCATCGAGGTGCGTCCCAGAGTCTTTCCTTCAATTTAATATGGGTGGCAGGGTAGCCTGGTGGTTAAAACATTCGCTTGTCACGCCAAGATCCGGGTTTGATACTTCACATGGGTACAATGTGTAAAGCTCATTTCTGGTGTCCCCCCCACTGTCATATAGCTGGAATGTTACTAAAAGCTGCGTAAAGCATACTGACTAACCTTAATATAACAGTCAAACTCATCTACAGTCTGCGACTTTAGCCACTAGTCAGAAACTGAGGTCAAGGAAAATTCTGTCCTGTCCAGTAAGCTCAGTTAATAATAGTCCATATAATTGCACTAAAATCAAGACTGCATCCATACCGAGGGCAGATAGGCATTGGCTATTGGAGGAGTCATGTGTTTGCACAAGTTGTGTTTGTAACCTGAAGAAAATCAGCTATTGGGTTAAGTGTACATAGTTGGGGTGTGACAATTGACTACCTCGCAACACCTTTTGTATCAAGATACTTTATCTGCATTGTTTTCACTTCATGTACTTGATGTTCAAGCTTGCTGGCTGACAACCTGTTTGTGTTATATTCTGTTTTTGTTGATTTAGGTTGTTCTTATGGTATTGTTATCAAATTACAAAACAAGATCAACGCAGAGCCATGTGAAAGACTACATGGTTATGTCATGTTTATTGTGTATTGTATCCTATCTTCTAAAATAAAGACAAACACTTCACTCATTGGCATATTTTATAATAGGAACTGTGTTACTATTAAAGAAATGCTGGATTTTAAAATAACTGGCGCAGTAGATTGCAAATGCTGTGCTCTGTCGTGGTCCAAGTGGAGATAATTTCAAGGAACATCAGATTATCTCCCCTTACAGTCTTTGCCTTCACTATAAAAATCTTTGTTTGATTTCAATTTGGTAACTTTTTTAGGTGCCTGGTATTGAAAGTTAAACTTCTGTTTGATGCCTACATATTTTCATGTTCTTTTCCTTTAATGTGATGTTTGATATCATAGGTTGGGCCAGCTCGATTCCGAGCTCCAGAGTTGTTGTTCCGCCCTGACCTGATCGGTGAGGAATGTGAGGGGATTCACGAGGTGCTTGCATACTCCATACAGAAGTCAGACATGGATCTCAGGAGAACACTATTTTCTAATATTGTCTTGTCTGGTGGATCAACATTATTTAAAGGTACACTCAGATTTTGATGCTGCTTCATCTGAATTATTGATCTCTAGTCATTAGTATTTTAAAGTATTTAAGACACTCTAATCCTATTTCCCTTGCTAAAACAGCTTTGAGATACATATCATTCATGAACGAGAAAGCCTTGGTTAATATGTGACATTACCCAAGTTTTTCGTATTTACGAATTGTAACTAAGATTTGAAAATATGATTTCTTCCCTAGTTCATACGAATACAGTGATCGCTCGCTATTGCGCTACCAATGGGGTCCAAATAATTGGTGGGCGTTATAGACGATGAGCCGTTTAACCGAGGCTGAGGCGGGGGAGCGCGCTCGGCTAATCTCAAATCATCAATAGGCCTATGTGTTTATCTCACGTCACGTCAAAATAGTATATATTTTTATGGACCTAGATCTACCTGTAAAATCATTCATTTATTAAATCTGTCATATTTCACAATGTCTGAAATACGTATTCCATTCTAATTTATCATTTTTTGTCAATAAATTAAAAAATTATTCACTATTTCCCGCGATGTTATTGAAAATAAAATTCTCGGACACACATTTCGACAACGGGTCCGCATCGAACATGTCAAAGAGCAAAATAAAGACTATTTTAAGCAAATCTTAAAATATATTATACAAAGTGATAAATAAAATCAACAAAAATATATCTAAAAGTAATCAAACTTACATCTAAGTTATTATTTCCATCGTTTCGTGCGATCGCGTGTAATGTAAGTCAAATGACATCTCAGCTTTCGTCGCCTTGAATTCTCGGCTCGGACACAACGTTTAATGCAAAAATATATGCATGAAAAATCTTTGTCACAGCTCGTAACCTAGCACGATACATTCGCGAAGTTCCATATTTTTAATATATATCGTGATTTCCTGCTTAAAACGTTCAGAATAACACGATTTAACAAAAAATCTTTCGCTAACTTCTGAAATTTATCAAACACGAGCTTGGTATCACAGCTTGATTGGCTGCCTGAGGTCACGTGCTCAAAATTGACCAATCACGAAACTTGTAGCAGATTTCGGCAAGAAAGAGTCATTAGAAACAAATTTTAATCCAATGAAATCGCTTGTTATAACTACGGGGAAAAAACAGGCTATGTTACGAAAGCGCGATTACTAAATGAATGACCACCGTGTTGTGACAGCAACTACATGTGTGTGACAGTTTAGCCTTAAATTGGATTGCCCACTAATTAAGAATATAAACTTCGCTTGTGGTTCTCTTTTATTGCATGCATGCGCTTCTAAGATCAAAGGATGTATAGTGTGAAAAGTTAACTAGTTGAACAATCGTATTTCCGGGACTTGCCGCGGATATTTTCAAACAGATTATTAGAACTCCATTCAGCGATAAACGGTTGATTATGCAATGAGAAGCGTTATGTGCAAATGAACAACGAACAACAATACAATTATGTCTGTGTAAAACTCTCAGTAATAAAAGTGTACATAAATTTTGGGAGCCATGCGTTACCGCGCGTAGTAACTGAGGTAGCGCTTTATCGAAGAGCGCAATAGCGAGCGATCACTGTATGTCAATCTACAAGAGAGAAATCTCACAAGAACTAAATTTTCAAAGACACCAGTAAAGAGAGAGTAATTATTTAGCCTTACACTGTTTGTTCGATTGGTATGAAGTCTACTTACAGTGTTGCAGGGGGCACTTCTGACCCAGTCTTCTTAGGCGTTGCAATTAGCTGTGCAGAGTTGCATCCCTTGGGAATGCGAGGAAACCTATGATTGTGGGTTCGAATTCTGGTTCGACCCAATTATGTTTCTAGGGTTGTCAGCTCCATACCCATGCTCATGGGTTTCACCAATGTGGTAAACGTCTGAGACCTGCGTCACTTCAGGCTATCTTCCTACACAGCTAACATGCCGTGATATAACTGGAATACTGTTGACAACGGCGTTAAACTCACTCACTCACTCAACTCACTCACGTGTAGCAGCATCTGTCGGATCTAGACACTCCCCTCGTATTATCAGAAGTTCCTGCAGTCAAAACACAATTTAAGCAAAAAAATCATCAACTACCTCTTGGAGTCACATGGCAGTATTGTACTGTAGATGATGCATATCACCCCAGTCTTTGGTTTCTCGACAAGATCATATAAAAATACTAATTGTAAATTGTGAAAGTTGGCAGCTATGTAATTCCCTCTATTGGTACAATCCTAGGATTACAGAATTCAGTGGAAATCTATTAATCCACCCGGAATATGTTTTTGTTTTTACTGCCTGTACATCTACAAGGTTTACCTGTATGACTTCCTGCTGAGTCTGATACATTTCCTTCTTTGATTCAGGTTTTGGAGATCGACTACTTAGTGAAGTGAAGAAATTAGCACCTAAGGATATCAAGATTAGGGTCAGTATTTTTATTTATTGCCTTATGTTAATATATAATAATAACATATTTTTTCTAAAATACTCCTGCATTCTTCCATGGAAGCTGAGAAGACAAAGTTGAAAAGGAGACATGGATAGTACAAAACAATTTAATATAGCCTTCATAATGAAAACAACAGTTTCATTGTCATTTACTGAGAACCATTTGCAGCCTTCGAAATTTAGGGTTTGTTTTAAGATGAACAAGAGGACCAGCGTAAAACTTACGCCACTAGCCTTCAGAGTTTGTGCTGGACTGACTTCACAGCATTGAGAACTGGTAAAGGGTTCTAGCCATCAAATGTTATCAGTCATTAATAACATTCAAAGGCTGAGTTGTTATTCCTGACATGGGTACAATGTGTAAAGCCCATTTCTGGTGTCCCCCGCCACGGTATTGCTGGAATATTGCTAAAAGCGGCGTAAGACCATACTCACTCACTGGTACTTTGCAAGTGTTGAGTGGTATGGATGGATTTATCTGAAAATATTTTCAGTTGTAATTGATGTTGATAACTCTTCTCCACAGATATCTGCTCCACAAGAAAGGTTATATTCTACATGGATTGGGTGAGTACTCTTTCATATCTTTTTTTCATTTTTTTTATTATCATCATCATCATCATCATTATTATTCCCATTATTATTACCATTATTATTCTTCTTCTTCTTCTTCTTCTTCTTCTTCTTCTTCTTATTATTATTATTGTCATTTCAATGATGGGGCAAGGGTTATCCTGTCCCCCAAGTTACGGTAGTTGCATCCCCTAGGCATGCCAGATCCCAGTGGGTTTGAGTCCCAGAGCAGGCTTGATTATCAGTCTAGGTTTATCAGCACCCTACTATTGCTAAGGGTTGCACCAGAGTGGGAAATGTCTGCCACCCGCACATAACAGGCATATCTTCCACAAAAAGCTGATGTGCTGTCCTACAACTGAAATACTGTCCAGAGCTGCATTAAACATGTTACACTCACTGTTTCATTGCGTTCTAGAGCTATGTTAAAGCCAATTCATTCACTGTTTCATTGATTTCTAGAGCTGTGTTAAAGCCAATTCATTCACTGTTTTATTGATTTTTAGAGCTGTGTTAAAGCCAATTCATTCACTGCTTCATTGATTTCTAGAGCTGTGTTAAAGCCAATTCATTCACTGCTTCATTGATTTCTAGAGCTGTGTTAAAGCCAATTCATTCACTGCTTCATTGATTTCTAGAGCTGTGTTAAAGCCAATTCATTCACTGTTTTATTGATTTTTAGAGCTGTGTTAAAGCCAATTCATTCACTGCTTCATTGATTTCTAGAGCTGTGTTAAAGCCAATTCATTCACTGTTTCATTGATTTCTAGAGCTGTGTTACAGCCAATTCATTCACTGCTTCATTGATTTCTAGAGCTGTGTTAAAGCCAATTCATTCACTGCTTCATTGCGTTCTAGAGCTGTGTTACAGCCAACTCATTCACTGCTTCATTGATTTCTAGAGCTGTGTTACAGCCAACTCAAACACTGCTTCATTGATTTCTAGAGCTGTGTTACAGCCAATTCATTCACTGCTTCATTGATTTCTAGAGCTGTGTTACAGCCAACTCATTCAATGCTTCATTGATTTCTAGAGCTGTGTAACAGCCAATTCATTCACTGTTTCATTGCTAGGAAACATGACATCATCGAAAACACTTTCAAATGAAGACTAAATGGTGATAGAGATGAAAATTATCAGTATATTTTTGTTCGACCATATCTTTTTGTTTTTCTAATATCCATCAAAACAGTGCAATGATAAAAAAAAAGATCAATATTTACCGATAACTGAAAATAAATATCGCGTGGCTTTAACTGTGAAATGGTCTCGGTTCCAGTGGCTCCATCCTTGCTTCCCTGGATACATTCAAGAAGATGTGGGTGTCTAAACGCGAGTATAACGAGGAAGGAGTCAAGGCGATACATCGGAAAACATTCTAGACCAGGAGGCATTTTAACACATAATTCTACATCCTCATATGTGCATTTCTTGTAAATGTCCATGTAATATATTATTTATCTGTTGACTTTAGCCGCAGGGGTAGCACATCAAGGACTGTTTCAGCCATCTCCAAAATGGCTGTTGCCTTACGCACCCGAACAAGTGGTGTAACTTCACTGCTTTGTGATAGGCCTGCTCTGGATATGTTAATGTGTTCTCATGTATATCAGTTCGGGATCTGAGAGACAGGTCTCCTTGTGTAGGCTTATAGCTTTGACTTAATCATCATGTCATATCATGATAAAAATTGCTTAGTTGTCAGATTTAGTTATGTTTCTGTTTGAAGAAAAATAGGAAACTTATTCCAGTTGCAAAGTGTCTTCCCTGTAACGTAGCTGCCAACTGTCCCACATGTTTCGTGTTTGTTACAAATTTGCAACTAAAATACAATTTCTTCCTTGATTCATACGAATATTATGAGGATAAAATCATGAGGACTAAATTTTGAAAGACGCCCGGATGCCATTGTACAAAGGGATCTTAGCGCTAAGGTGATCGTAACTCCCACACTTAAAGGAAGGCTTACGATCATCGTATTGCTAAGGTTGCTGGTCGTTGTTTTGTAACGGCACCCTGTACAGAGAGTCATGTAGCCTTCCAACCTCTGCTACAAATGTGTATCAACTGGTGTGAAGTCTATAAATTGTGTTGCATCTGTCCAATTGAGGGGGCAGTCGGGTAGCGTAGTGGTTAAAGCGTTAGCTCGTCACGCCGAAGACCCGGGTTTGATTCCTGACATGGGTACAATGTGTGAAGCCCATTTCTGGTTTCCCCCGCCGTGATATTGCTGGAATATTGCTAAAAGCGGCAAAAACCATACTCACTCACTCACTGTCCATTTGAGACACTTTTGTCGTGTTATTGGAAGTTGCTGTAGTCAAAATTGAAACTAAGCAATAAAATTATCGATTCAGATTTGAAATCTCATGACTGTATTGTACTGTAGATATTTCCTATCGTCAGGCATTGGTGTCCCTACCCGAGGACTGTAACAAAATACTAATTGCAATGTGGTGAAAGTTGACAGCTATGCTGCAGTATTTGTTTCAAATTTGATGTTTTATTAAGTAGCTGAACTTTATGTACTCGATATGAGAAACATTATTATATTCATTGTATTCCAAATAAGCTCTGATCTGCTTTACATTGCTCTCAAGACGTTTTGGACAATGAAACCAGAGGAGTTTAGTGAATTAAACTTTAGTTGAAAACAGCTTGAAATTATCAGTAGTCACAGTACATTGAAAGTGTGTTTGGATTTAAGGAAATATATTTTCTGAAGAATATATATTGTATTTGACCAACTCTGCTTGCTTGATCCAGATCTTCAGAATTGTCAGTAACTGTAGCTGTTGTACATACTTTATCCTGGTCCTGTTGGGGGTCATCTCTGCTTGAGTACACGTAGATTGTGTTCCATGCATTCACTGTGAGTTGTTACACAAAATGCATCATTCTTATCGATTGAAACAAATTTTCGTAAGACCTAAGAGTCACATGAGAAGATACGCTGTACCTACCCGTAAATGCAAGCACACAAATGGTGAAAAGGTCACTGTGAACGAAAAGTTCTATGATTGTGACGTGAATTACATGACACAGCTTTTGACATAATTTATTTGTTGTTTGTAATTCTAGTGCTAAGATTCTGATGTGTGAGCTGCCAGTACTGTGTTTCTTTGTGTACATTCACAGTGCTGTACAACTAGAACAAACCATGCTTTGATTACACAAACATCATGTACAAGCTGAAAGAAATACTCACTATCTTTCAAGATAGACACAATTTTATGGATAACAACTTCTTTAATACTTGCTTGACAACGGTATAAAGATCTATACCGAAACATCGCTTTTCACAGTATTAAAGAAGTTGGTATCCATAAAATTGTGTCTATCTTGTCATTCTTCAACTTCTAAGTAATCATGGTAATGCCTATCAAACAATTTCACTATCTTTCATTTGTCAGACCAATTTTTGCACTAAAATATACAAAAAAGGTATTGAACTGATTTTTTAAATATTATTATAGATAGCTTTTCCGATTGTCAGTTATTTTTCAGTTTTAGTGTGTGTTTTGAGCTTTCAACATTTGCAAATATATTGATAATTATCCAATGAAATATGATTATCAAACTGTTATTAAACCTACAATAAAGTAAACATAGGAGTAGGGATGTAGTATAATTTATTTGTCAGCCAGTCATTCAAGTGTATCCATGGTAACCATTCCAGGAAATTGTATCCATGGTAACCAGATATCTACTTCAAGTATCCGTAGTAACCACACTAGGGTGCTGCTCATTCTACGCCTGTTTACAGGTGTATTTGCCATTGTAGTTGTGCAATATCCTGAATACATAGACTGACAGTAGAAGATTGTCAAGTGGAAGTTTGTCTTCACAGTGTTTTGGTTTTCATCAGTGCATTTAATTATAGAATTTGGACTCGTCATTGCCGACATCCAAGCTTAAAGGATCTAATAGAGGAGAGACTTCCGTTTTCATCACTTTTAATTAATAACTGTTTGCCATGCATTTAAATAATGAAAGATAATAATATTAATAGCACACATACTTGTATTGCTTATAAATATTATATATCTTTTGTTTAGAAAAGAACCATCACTTTTAAAGAAGAGTGTCTACATACTTGTTGAAATGAACCTTTTTTTTAAACAGACAACAGTTTCCCATTTTGAATTCTACTTCAATAAATATTTGAAGGAACACAATGTTTTACCGATGTAGATTATTACTTACATGTAATGTACTATTTGCTGTGTAACTACTTTTAGGTGAAATGTTTCCCTTATATCATTGTATGGGGATCTTACCTCAGATGAAATGCTATTGATGTAGATAGACTAGTTGTTATGGTTTGAAGAAGGAAACATGTTGTTTTGTATAACTGTTGCTATCACAAGATCTGTTGGTGCTTCGTTCGTTTCTTAAATTATTAATTACAGGAACCACAACTTTCTGTGGTTTTGCCAAAGGCACTGATGGTTTCATACAAATTTTAGCCAAGTTAGATGCTAATGAAAATAACTACTTTTATTCTCGGCTGGTGAATGCTGTATTTTGAATGGGAATATAAGAAATGACTGTTTTCTTTAAAAAGCAAGTTCTTTTCTTTTTGATCTTTTCGAGAACTTGAAATTTTGAAGGAGACCTGCCAAGAGCCATGGGAATTCGGGGCTAATGTGAAGCATGGAAAAAATTAGAAATTAGACGTCATAAATACTAAAATGAAAGATATAAATGTAACATTGGTTTCTACCTGGCCATTTATATTGGTACCACGTTTTTGAATATCAGGAAAGATTGTGAGTTTGTTCATTAGAGGACTTATTCATTGATTCTTGATAAGGCTGTTTTTGATGACTTGGCTCATAGATGTTTTCCTAAACCTTAGGGTCAGAAAGGAAGAAAAAAGAACATTTGAGACAAAAAGTATGTGATGAAGTCATCTCAATACATGGTAAGTGGGGTGATACAGAAATTAAATTAAAGATTGTTGTTTTTTACTTTAACAGTTACTTCCCTACTTTGAAGTTTTTTTCAGTAATAAAGTACAAGTTAACAGACTTGATTTGTTTTTTATGGGAAGAGAGACACAATTTAAAAAAACAATTGTAATATAAAAATTTGATTTAGTGGATCTGTGAACTAAATCTTGCATTATAGGGATTTATTTAAGAGCTAGTAACCTAAAATGTCTAGTCAGTATGTTGTTTGTGTGTATTATCCTTTCAAAACCAGTGTAGGATAATCAGCAGACACCGTCTCGGATATTTGATTGAGGAGTGACCATTCTCTACAGTCCACAGATTTCTTAGAGTCTTCGTTGTGGTTTGGGTTTTATATCTTTATAAGAAGGTTGAGTGTCCTACCTTTTTGAGTATTCCAAGTTTGTTAAGTCCAGGGTTCGACACATGTGCTTGTTCAAGAAAGAATAATGCCAATCACATTGATAATGACCAGTAGTTTAAGATAAAAAATATGAAAGGTCAGTCTCTCTATTTTCAATCACACTCTTTTTTTAAACAAAATGTTAAACGGGAATAATTTAATAATAAAGTGTGAGAAATTGGTGAAATTGTTATGAGCTTGGGGGGCGGTCGGGTAGCCTAGTGGTTAAAGCGTTCCCTCGTCACGCCGAAGACCCGGGTTCGATTCCCGACATGGGTACAATGTGTGAAGCCCATTTCTGGTGTCCCCCGCCGTGATATTGCTGGAATATTGCTAAAAGCGGCGTAAAACCATACTCACTCACTAAATGTTATGAGCTTGGCTTGTGTTCGGCAGATGGCTGATGGCTGATGCCATACCTGTGGAAATTATTGCTTATCAGTCCAAGCCTTGGGCAGAAATTGGTGAAAAAATATTTGTCAAAACGTGCATAATTTTTTCTAGTTTTCTGGCCATATTTTTGGGTGGGACCAGTAACTGTTCTGTGGGACTGGTTTTGTTACAAATGGCTGAATCAAGATATCATCAAATATGTGAAAACTTCACATAATAAAATATTAATATCCAGAACTTAGCTTCTCCACTTTAAGAAACAATTTGTGCTTACACACAAATCAGTTTAATTATCAGCACGATTAGAAATGGTGCCTTTAGCTGAGGATATGCGACGGTAAATTACAACCTTGTTTGTATTTCTTTGCTTTCATAAGACCTTTGTCACAGATATTTTGTAATAGTTAAATAATTAATGTTTTCAGGTAAGAAATATGCCCAGGTCAAGCTTTATTTTTTAAGGGCGGTTGGGTAGCCTAGTGGTTAAAGCGTTCGCTCGTTACGCTGAAGACCCGGGTTCGATTCCCGACATGGGTACAATGAGTGAAGCCCATTTCTGGTGTCCCCTGCCGTGATATTGCTGGAATATGCTAAAAGCGGCGTAAAACCGTACTCACTCACTTTATTTTTTAAAACTCTTTTTGTATCACGGAAAGTCATTGGTATACTGTATGGTGTCTCGCCTTAAAATACAGCCAAGCTTACTGCTTTATGCCCCTATGCATCTGAGATGTCCTGATTTGGTGATTGTGTATCAAGTACGGTATGTAGCATCTTAGTGTCAGCTGTTAATGTATCCCTTCCTGGCTTGACTGTAATAATTGACTGTAATTGACTGTCACTTGGCAATGTACAGAATCTTGTTCTCAGTATATATGATATCTGCAAACAATAAAATGTTAAATAATGAATGTTTGTTTTGTATATTTGTTGTTTATCACCACAGCATTATTGAAGGTATATGACGATGGCAGATGTGGTGTTGGTCATTCTTGAATAAAGACTTTAAATCAGCAGTGGATCAGCTGAATCAAGGCAGTCTGTGTTCAACTCTGGAGCAGGTAAACCAGTGGTTGCCTCACAACTCAACACAATACTATCTAGGTCTTCAAATTGTTTTGTTTCATGTTTTTTTAATGCAAACGAATTAACCAGACCTGACCACAGATGGCCAGCATAGGTTGTTGGGGACAATTTTTAACCTGGAATCGCTATATGGTTCCCTCCAAAGTGTTGTCCATAAAGATCCAAGAAATATGTAGAGAGAGTCTGTGAATGTTGTTTAACACCGCACTCAGCAATATTCCAGCTATATGACAGTGGTCTGTAAAAAAAGTCTGAATCAGACAATCCAGTGATTGACATCATGAGCATCGAACTTAGCAGCTGGGATACGATGACATGCATCAACCAAGTCAGTGAGCAGGACCACCTGATCCCATTAGTCGCCTCTTACGACAAGCATAGTTGCTTTTTACAACAAGCACGGGTTGCTGAAGACCTATTCTACCCGGATCTTTGTGTCTATTCCAGCTATGTAGAAGCATGCAAAATAACCAAGACAACCAGTGACTAAAAGCATAAACAATGAATACCAGCACGGTTCGATGACATGCAATAAAGTCACAGATCCTGACCACCTGATCCCCATGTTGGTCTGGTCCCGCAAGAAGCAGGCCTTACTTGGGATCTACTCTGACATGACTCCCCATAGGGTGACAGTCAGGGTCTGATTTTTTGGTTAAGTTTGTTGTTTAACGCCGCACTCAGCAATATTCCAGCTAGCTGACAGCGGTCTGTAAATAATCAAATCTGGACCACACAAACCAGTGATTGACATCATGAGTATCAATCCACACCACTGGGATCGATGACATGTATCAACCAAGTCAGCGAGCCTGACCACCCAATCCTGTTAGTCGCCTTTTACGACAAGCAAAGTCACCTTTTACGGCAAGCATGGTTTCCTGAAGACCTATTCTACCCTGGAACCTTCACGGGTCCAGTCAGGGTCTGACCACAATGGGTAAACATCCATAACGGCTCTCAGCAGAAACACTATTTCATCCTCATTGTGTTGGCCAGCCAATTTATTCAAGTTAAGCAAGACAACATATACATCTTCTTGAAATAAACAACAAAGGTTTACAAAAATAAGTAAGATGTATTTCTTCTTCGCAGAATATTCAATTATGTAACCCAGTCCAGTAACAACGTATGAATGAGGTACATGTGAACATGGACATAACTTCTCAAATCAACATGGGGTAACGGTGCAATATTCTGATACAATTAATTGGCAGTGTCGCATCAAGGAATTTGAGAAATACCAGCAGAACTCAAATCCCGAATTCTGAAACTGGAACTTGGCCGTGCAAAATGTTCTTAAGCTGCAACATCTTATCTTAAAGCTATACCCTGTATTGCTATATGTCATTCCAATACAAATCCATGACCATTTGCAGTCACCTGTGAAGTTATGGCTGCGAGGCAAACTCCGACTTCGGAGGCATTCTACACCTCTTGTTATAAGTAGCATTATGCTGAAGTCATGCTGAAGTCATGCTGAAGTCATGCTGAAGTCATGATCAATACATCATACAATACAAAGGAACAATTTCACTACAGGAACAGACACTCTTTAGTACTATTTTCTCAAGGGCAATTATTCCCATGGAACAGTTTTTCCTATGACAATCTTTCGATGGTACATTTACACTGGCAATATTTGTTCCGGATAGAACCAATTCCATGTGGACCTGATCATCATTGACACAGATAATCTTTGACATGTACACATACATACATCAACAGTGACACAGTTTGGAAGAACTGACAGGTTAATATGCAAACACAGTAACTTGAAAAATGTACCTTTTTGGCCCAGGAATATAATTCTTACAGAAAAGCTTTTTGTAAATTGTTCAGCTTAAATATTTCCTTTTTTTGTATAAATTCTATTGGATTTAAATATGCTTATTTTGAACTTTATATGCTTGTTTGTTTATTTATTTATTTATTTATTTATTTGTTTGTTTGTTTGTTTGTTTGTTTGTTTGTTTGTTTGTTTTTATTTATTTATGCAAGATCTAATTAACCCCAAATCCAACTGCAACATAAAAAGTAATTTTATTTTCTTGATCTTTGGCATAGTACCAATAATCTGTAAAACTAGAAATAAATTCATCTAGACTTTACATGACAAAAAACGTCTCTGCCACTATAACGTATACACTGCATAATATATTTATTTAATTAATGGTTGGAACACAGGAATCATTCAACATGGATTTGTTTGACAACTGGTGTATTACATATATATGATATGAAAACAATATCATAAATCCTCTCTGGTTAACTAAACTTAATTTTCATTCCCTGACAGTGATACTTGCTCAAAGATTAATACTATCTAGGGATTCAGGAAAACCTTTTAAAACACATATTAGGGGTGCCACATTATTGCAAGCCTCAAAAAGTTTCTATAAAAAAAAACTACCGGGTACTCCACTTGAACAGGACCAAAGAAACTGTCCATACACTGTATGCTGTATTGAGACATGTTGCCACACTTGAGTCTTGAGACAACACGTATCATAATAATTAATTAATACCATTCTTGAGTGACATTCTCTATGACTGACTCATTCTTATTGTTTTATGCAATCAGATTTAGCATTTTGTCTCTTGACATGCTGCAAGTTAACAATAAGTAGTTATCATGCCAAGTCATTACAAAATGTAGTAAATAATAGCTTCTAAAAAACAAAAAGAATTAAAACATTTATCAACATATGGGTAGCTCTACTGTGTAGCATATCGTCAGGTTAAATTTGTCGTGTTGCGATGAATCGTGGCTACCCTGGTATGACACATGTGGTGTGAAACAGTATCTTATCCTCCAAAAATCAACATCAGTTTACACCACATATTCATGATAATCTGGCACACATAACATGATTTATGATACCTCCATGTCAGAATGATGAGATCTGATTGGTCCACGTGATCTTGATAAAATACTGTGTAACCCACCTTGGAGGGTAATAAATTTCTCAGCGGGGAATGAATCTCTTATACCCTGCCAAGAGCAATGCAGGCTGCACATGGATATTTGAGAGGCAGAATTAACCCCTTATACCCGGTTTCAATGCAAAGAACTGCACACTTCCCACCCCCCGAGCGTGACACAGCACAAGATAACCTCAGCTCAATCGAACAGCTGTTTTCAAGGCCGTAGATAATTATTTTTGACAGGGGGGGCAACTTGTACAAGTATCACTTGTCCCCAAAACTGCCTACCCTGCCCCTCCGGCTCGCTACGGCAATGGTTTTCTATCAATCAATTTTGAATTTGTGTTAATTCTTTTGCAATGTCACATATAAACATGTCAGTAAGAGGTATAAAAGCTAACGCGGGACGCATAAAACCCCATGTACCCTGAGTGATCCTGCTACAACCTGGAATATTATGACCAAACATAAAAAGAATTTAACAATATTTTCTGTACTGACACTGAGAATGAAAATTGGTAAACGAGGAAACATCAAACACTGAATAACCATGACGACAATTTGTGACAATCTTAATCATGATAATGACAAAAAATTATGATAATAAGTAATAACCTGATATTGAATTATATCAAATAGTTTGTTTGTTGTTTAATGCTGCACTCAGCAATATTCCAGCTATATGACGGTGGTCTGTAAATAAATGAGTGATTGACATCACGAGCATCATTCCAGGCAACTGGGATACGATGACATGCATCAACCAAGTCAGCGAGTCTGACCAGCTGATCCCTTAAGTCGCCTCTTACGACAAGCATAGCATGGTGAGAGTGGTTGTCTGAATAAGGGAACATCCATTTGATGTTTCCCCAGCTGTCTTGTTATTTACTGACCACCATCAAACACTTTTCACTTTCATTATTAACACACATAATATGACGTTGGGTATTTTCCACAAAACAACCTATAAAAAAATTTCACTTCTGCCAACAAACTATTCATTTGGGCGTATTTCTGATCAAAGTATTCATTTAAAAACTCTTCCATCCATTATTCGAGTGGTTTCCAAAAAAGTGTATCCAATTTAGGGTTCAGTCCACCATGTCCAAAAACAAAGCAAGGGCCATAACTCTGTACAATATTGATTATGATGGCTGGGTTTCGAACTTGATCTGGATAGGTATCCCATAATGCTGTATGAAAAATATTATCCTAGTGTTTCAAAGAAGACTTGACCCCATTTTGACACTGGGACCTTGTTAAGAAAATCAAACAAGGGCCATAACCATGAAAAAACCAATGACGGGTTTCTAACTACATCAACATATTTATCTCTTAATGATGTATGGAAAATTCCATCCTTGTTTCAACAGCGGTGTCTCAAAAGAGTTGTCCCCATTTAAGTCAATGGACAGAAGGATGGAGGTCTAACCGATATCCCCGTCCTACTCCGTGGCAGGGGATAAAACTGTTTCACATAACTGCTACAAGTTTGACAAGCTTATCCAATACAAAAAATGATAATGAATGTATATTTAAGCTTGACAAAAAAATATCCGTGAACAAAATTTTGTCAACAGGCGGACCAATCAAGAGAGCCCTAATTCTGAAACCAACATCAGTTCAAGGACATTTCCGTAAAATCTATGGGAAGACTATGCATCAAAGTCCATTTACAGTTTTTAGGTGAGAACTTGAGATGTATTTTATGACAAATTAAAAGTAAACGTTTATTTCTAGATTGATCTGGATCTTGACCAACATTAAGACTCTGAAAAGAAAAGAATTTTGTAATTAAAAGTCTCTTAATATATAATATAAGTGATCCCAGAGAATCTCCTTGTCTTTCTGAAACTGAAGAAATCCAGACGGAAGTACAGTAGACTTGCATGGGAGTTTACAGATATGTTTGTGTCAGGACCTTAGGGTTTTACCTTCACTTGTTATCTCTATACATTTGTGTGTACCGGATGAAAATTTCTGTGTCGTGAAAAACACTGAGGTCTGAAAGTGAGATTACCGTATTCGACGTAATAAGCGCCCAGGGCGCTCTCAAAATTAGAAATAGGGGGTTCTTATTAGAATATAATTTTAGTGAAAAAAAAGCAGAGTTGAAAGATTGCAAATTTTGTGGTTTATGCTGACAGCCTGAAATGATATAAAAGAAGAATCTGCGTGTATTATACACGATACCCGGTAGATATATTTTAGATAATTTAATTGCCCATAATTAAGGGTGCATATAACACACGAGGGCATATTATACACGAATAAATAAGTCTTGTGTACATTGATCAATTGGAAAGGGTGCTAATTGGGATTGTTCACTAGCCAAAATATTAGCAAATATCGCCATGGACGCTTATTAGAGCGGAGCGCTTATTACGACGAATACGGTAATCTGAATCATTAAACTTGAGTTCGCAGACATGTTCAGGTGTTGTACAGTGATCCCTCGTTACAATACTAGCTTTGGGGTCCAAATAATTGATGAGCATTGATAATAGACGAACAGCGGTTTAACCGAGGTTGAGTCGTTGGGGTTGATGAACAATGCAACAGTACATGATCTGCCTACCTAACAGGATTTACACTGCACATTTCGGAATTTGAAAAAAAAGATTAGAATAGTAGTTATTTATGATTTGAGTGTGATGTGCCTTGAAAAAAACACATCATATTTGTATTTGTATTAACAACCTGATTCAAACTTAAGCTTAAAAAAATAAAAGAATTGGTTTTCAGGCAATGACTTTTGAAAATATATAGTGGGTGGTGTGTTTTTTCTTTTTTGCTTGTTCAAACTAGTATGTAACCAAATAAACAATTGTGTACCACCAACCTGGCGAAGGGCCTCCCTACATAAACAAGCATACAAACTCCTATCGCCACCTTGACCATAACACAAGATGTGCAGTAAAAAAGTGTGCATATGTAAAGGGAAGTAACTGTGATCTATATTGGATCACATTGTTTTTAAGTATTAGGATTTTTTGATTTTTTGAAAATGGAAATAAAAATGAAACATGCTGCAGAGTTTATGATGATGCAGGCAGTGCCTGAGAACCAAGACTATTATTCTTTTAGCCCAAAGTGGGACTGCCAATTGGGTGAATGTGGGGTTAACAGTATTTGAGTCACATCATGGTGTTTCAGTCTGACGTGGGAGGAATGTGATGCAAATCTCAGACATTTAAAAGTTCAATGAAACCTAGAGCGTCGGAACTCAAGATCACAGGTCTCTTGCATGTCTAAGGGACATGGCCCATCCCCCCGCCACCCTTACCCCTGACTGCCAACCCCCTTCAATGATGACCATTTCAATATCTCTCCCCCATTATCAATACTACTAGAGCTGACCACCCTGTAAATGGGTGGCTGCCTTTGCCCTCTCCAGTTTTGTCACTATAATTTTCCCATATATATCCTGTTTTTTCATAATTAGTCATCAGATTATCAACAATATTTTTTCTCAAATCCTTGTATATAGACGCAGCCAAATTTTGGTAAGGTCCTCTACTTCTGGAATAAAAGTCTAAGGCGCCAAGGGCTAAGTAGTTCATGTTGATCCAGATGGCGCCTCTCCAGTATGGAGGATCGTGTTCAGTATTGTATCGGTTGTACAGTTTTGCACTCTGTGACAGTGACCGTAAACCATAGTCCGTCCACAGCAGGGATGGATTTTTGAGATCGTTGAGAATCTTGTACAGTTTGGGTGAATCGGGTTCCACGATTTTTAAAAGAAAAGGAAACAGACTGACATATCCGAAAATGTTGACGAACTGGTTTTTCGGTTCCTCCTGAGTGACCCGGATTTTGTCTTGGTTCATTGGTGGAGGTCGTTGCCCAGGTTGGAGATTTAACTGAGGCTTTGGCCGTTCCAACTTGACCCGGTCGGTATGAAAACCATAGTCACTGTACTGCTGACCTTGTTCGGACCAATGGAGCTTGTCCAGGAGGTCATTGTCGGTCAACAGTTTGTGAGTGCGGTCATATTCTTCCCAATCTTTGGCCAATGAGCGTGCAATGTCAGCCATAACACCTGAAGCTAGAGCAAGCCAACATCGTAGATCCACATGTCGCTCGTCATCAGTTGGGTGAGAGGATCGTGGGTAGTCATCAAGACCAGAGGTCAAGGTCAGGGGATTGAGTTGCTTAACAGCAGTTGCATCTCTCCCCCGCCAGCGATAAGATGAAGGATCTTTTCCAACTTGACTTGAGTTGTACCACGAGTACCAGGCCTTTAATCGTGGATAGAGGGCGCTGAGGAATGTTCTGTCTTTGAGTGTGTTGCTCTTGATCATGTCTTTGATAAGTCGCTGAAGAGGCAGGAAAAATGTTGGCGGATTTGCATTTTTGTTTCTTTGTACAACAAATTCTCCTGGAACCTTTGCCCGAGCCTCAACACCAAGAATCTGCTCACGAGGAATCCAGCCCTCAATATTCATGGTATCAAGCCAATGAGCAATGATGTCTTTGGAGATGGAGGGATCCCATTGGCTGATGAGGAGGTTGTGAAAGCCTTCATCCCACAGAAACCCTCTTGGAAAGAATGGTCGTGAAGGGACTCCGGTGTACAGAGGGGTTTGCCAATATTCAACAGGTTCTTCGTTGTAAATTGACTGAACAAGTGACGATCCATAGAAATAACCAATGCTGCCTACCATGTTACTAAAAGCTGCTTTTGCGAAGTTAATTTCATTGACAGAGTACCCTCTCTCTTTGAGGGGAAATGTTTTCAAGAAACGTTCATTGAAGGAACTCACATGGTTTTGCAAGGCATTTTCAAACACATTTCCAGCCAAAGTGTCACGTCTGTTGGTGACACTGCCAGACTCAAAGACAACCTCCATCTCAAATGGGAGAGTTGCAGTGACCTGGTGCACAACAAAGTTTGTGGGCTGGTCACTTGGGATGGCTCGACCATTTAGTACAAAATATGGCAGAGTCCTCTTCTTGTCCCAAGCATCCACGGCCATTGAGGCCATGAGGACGTCCTTCAGCTTGTCCAGTTGAGGGGAGTGGCTGATCAGATGACTGTTTCTGGCCCCTGTTGCTGTGTTCTTGGGGAACTTCAGCTCAAAATGACCAAGCTCCTCTGAGTATCCCTTGATTGATGAGAGGCGCTTCTTGGTCAGTTGTGGCGCAAGTTGACCTTGGCCGTCCAGGGCCATGTAGAACATTAGAGATACTGTTGCAGGTTTGTTTGGGTTCTGGAAGTAGAAAAGATACAGTATGTAATTTTATCCTCAGAAACAATCAACATTAACAGATATTAAGGTGAGGTGAAATGTGGTTTGACTTCATGCACTGATAGAGCGACGTGTGTGTGTGTGTGTGTGTGTGTGTGTGTGTGTGTGTGTGTGTGTGTGTGTGTGTGTGTGTGTGTGTGTGTGTGTGTGTGTGTGTGTGTGTCTGTGTGTGTCTGTGTGTGTCTGTCTGTGTCTGTGTGCTTGTGCCAGTCTGGACTGATGCCAATTTATAGTGCTAGCCCACCGAGATACCATGCCGCAGTTTAACATGAATACCCCATTCAGACACAGTATACTGACTCCAAGCTGACCAGTCCTTGTTTTAGCCCCTTAATGCCTAGCACCACGCAGGGTAACAACAAGTACCATCTTTATCGTCTTTTGATATGACGTGGCCGGGGATCAAACCCCAGACCTTCAGCTCTCCGGGCAGCGCTCTACCACTGGACCATGGAGGCGGTACAGAAATTAAGGTGTTTTAATGATTCTTGTTTTACCTATTAATGACATTTTTTTAATTGTTTGATATGATAAAATGAATTTTTAAACAAACTTAAAAGCTGTAAAAATATTATAATTCCTACTACAACCAACGATGGAGAGAGTTATGTTATTACTACATAGAAGTGTGACTCTCTGACAATCACAGTGTTTATTCGAACACAACTTCTTTTATCATGCTTATCACACTGTGGATAGGATCCATAATCAGGAAAGTGTGAATGGTTCAATATGTGCTGCTTTTTAACATAATATACATGCACAAAGCATTTGTTCAAGACCTCAGAAGCGAGGTCAAATGTATGACAAGCACCAAACAGGGACCCACTAGGCACTATAAGCCATAAAGAGGCTGAGCATGTGTTGGCATACAAATTTCATTATATTTCGATGCATTTCACTAATGCAAAATAACATACTTTCTCCAACAGGGATTTATCTAGGATTCTGAACTAAGTGGCCCTTGGTAGGTAAATTGAGAAAATAATCATTATTTTGTTCAAAATTGGAAATTGTAAAGACACGGCTGCTTACATATGGAACTGCTTTGACTCTGGCTGACCAGTCCCCTCCATGCTGACCTCCAGGTCGCTTCACAAACTGAGTCCTCAGCATGTACGTGGAATCATGGATGTCCTGTGAACCAAAGTTGACGCCATCATGCAGCATCCAGCCATAGCGCTGTAGCCTGTCACCCTGGTCACACCAATGACGTAACGGTGGCGGCATCTGCCCAGTGAACTGAGTCAGCCACATCAGACCTGCAAGTATTAGATATGCATTCTTGTGTATCCTTTTATTTATATCAAAATTTCATTCAGAAACTATTTAAATCCCTTATGAATAAAAACATTAGAAAAAAATAACGAAAATATTAGTTAATAATCAGCCGTGAAAGTATTGTCAGTTATGTGGTGTGCTATTCTTCCACAGAATCCCCATCCCCCTAACATGGGGAGCCAAAAACAATGCTTAATTTCCTGGAGCTGAAGCAATCTAATTATTCTAAACTTGAGTTGGGACTCTTTTTGTAATTTATTCTCTGTTAGTCTGTTGGGGTCTCTTGTGAAACACAAAACTTTAAGAGACATAATACAGAAGATTTTGGAGAAAAGGGTTTCATACCAACTACAGGGGATGCTTTGCTCCTCGTCTTCATCCCGAAATACATGTGCGATCTGTAAGTCCCCCAAAATCTATCGGGGTTTTCAGCAGCACTGGAACTATTATCTGCCAGTATTGTCGGTGATTGCAGTGGCGTTTTCACTGCTGACTTCAGTGACGTCTGATACCGCATATATGCAATAACTAGCACCACGCCGGCGGCCACAGCAGATATTGCCAATTTGGTCAAGAGGCCTCCTGGGGTTTTGGAAGATTTTTGAGACGGTCTGCTGTAAGATTTGGACGGTCCGAGGCCGTCACGTGGTCGGCTCCGACGCCTGACTTCCTTAGACATTGTTGACAATTATGTAATAGATGATTAATGCATAGACATTTGGAAATGCATCGTATTTACACACAAACACAGCAACGTGGACACCGACGCCATAAACCGGAAGTAGCAGACCACAGATAACCAAATTACGTTTGTCGTAAAATAACACGTTCAACCTAACCTTTATTGAGCAGAATAAATATCCGATCAAACCTAAAATACACTCAAATCCCATTGATGATCGAAATAAATCATAACGCCCAAGTAATGATTACGACATCACTAATTAATCGAAGCGCTCGTAAAATATAATACTTTCACAGCCGATACATTTTTCGATGTCCACAGCCACTGTAAATTATTTCTAAATTCTTTTGTAGTAACATTCTGAACGTTTTGGAATTTTCATATGTTGATTTCGACCTTCTTGCTACAATTTCGACAACACAGACTGTTGAAATATAACAAAAACACGCATGCTTATCTTGACACCGTGAGAACTCACCAGATTTCAAGGTACTGATAAACTATTAATTTGGTTCTGAAGGCAAATCACGTCTGATTTAACTTGGAAACAAATCATGAAGACCGTTGTTGTTCTGCTATTTGTGGTTTTTGTGTCGTATGTGCAAGGTAAACTGTCAGTTTTATGTTGATGAAAAAAGAGAACTGTTTCTGTTCATAGCCTATATCAAAGAGTATTTACTACTTATTATTATGTATTTAGTGACGAAATACTATAATAATCTGAAAATTTAAATCAATCCTTCCCACAGACAGACAGATAGATAGATAGATAGACTGCCTCTTTTCTGCCTCATGGTCACGACGTGATATATACTGTATGGTTATATTAATATTTTCATATTTTTATATTCCTAAATGCTAATTTCGTTTACAGTAAACTACGGTTATAACGAACTCAATGGGACTACTAATTTTAGTTCGTTATAACCGTAGTTCGTTATAAGTACATATACAGTATGACTACAGCAAGTAGTCGGGACCAAAAAGTAAGTTCGCTATATCCGTCAGTTCGTTATAAGCGTGTTCGTTATAACCGTAGTTTACTGTATCAGATATTTTGGGGGATGTTTCAGCTATATTCTTTTTTACCACCCAGGGGCACCGGTGGACAACAGGAGCTCAGTCCAGTGTGAGTACAGACGTACATAATGTAGACAAGGCAGTATCACCAACACAACAAGACACCAATTATTTATCTTAGAGAAAATGGCACTTTGTTAACATGGAACAGAGAGGTGTCCCTTACTTACGTGTATGTTAAAAGCGACACCATCTATATATGCACATGCATGTTTCGCCAAAATGCATGAAACCCGTGAAGATCCGAATTAGAATAGGTCTTCAGCAACTCATGCCTGCCGTAAGAGGCGACTAACGGGATCGGGTGGTCAGGCTTGCTGACTTGGTTGATACATGTCATCGTATTCCAATTGCGTGGATCGATGCTCATGATGTCAATCACTGGTTTGTGTGGTCCAGACTTGATTATTTACAGACCGCTGTCAGCTAGCTTGAATATTGCTGAGTGCGGCATTTATTATTTTGTTTATTTCGATTTTAGGAACGACTCCAACCTAATTGACAATTTACCGAATGAAAACAAAAGATATAAAATAGCAAATAGTATGTTTCTATTGCTTTTATAAGAAACTTCATCATGAGCAGTCTCATTAAATTAATACGTCATCGCTGCGTGAAGCAGGGAGTATCGTGTTGGGGTAAAAGGTCTGATTTTAATGAGACTGATTCACGAGGAATACTTTTCAATTTTATTTTATGAAACATAACCAGGGCCACATGCACTTGTCTTAGAAACGCAAACTGCATAAATACTGATAAAGAATAAAAACATACCTTCCATAATCGGTGGAACGAACTCCGTGATTTTCTTGAATACAATACACAACAGCCAGCATTCAGCACCACTGCCTGACGCAGAAGGTGGGCGTGGCTTGGTGTGAGAAGCACATGCGCCCTTTAAAGCTCTTGTACGCTTACGTGTGTTGTTTGTTGTTTAACGCCACACTCAGCAATATTCCAGCTATATGACAGCGGTGTGTAAAGAATCGAGTCTGGACCAGACAGTCCAGTAATTTATATAATGAGCATCGATCCACACAACTGGGATATGATGACATGCATCAACCAAGTCAGCGAGCCTGACCACCCGATCCCGCTAGTCGCCTCTTATGACAAGCGTAGTCGCCGCTTACGACAAACTTGGGTTGCTGAAGACCTATTCTAACCGGATCTCCACTTACTGTAGGCTATTACACACAGTAAGTTCAAGATACATATTTCTATTTACGAAAATTCATTTTCTCTAGGTGATTTTATCCTAAACTTCAAATTTTCATTTCAGCATGATGTTCTTGTACTTGTAGCTAGATTCATCGGCTGCATCCCAATCTCCTGCTTCGTCAGCCCGTGCATGACGGCCACGTGTCTTGGTCACCCCGGTGCCACATGCAGGTATATGTTCAGCTGTATCAACTCTTTAACTTCTTTGTAGATTAGTCAGCGAGTAAGTGAATGTCACTTCATGCCACTGTCAGTAGTCATGACTCAACCATATCTTCAGACTTTGTGTACCTACCTGACCAAACGAACTCGTCTTCGGCGTTACCAGGGAACCTTTAACCTATAGGCCACCCCGCCGTGCAATTGTGGTGTCTCCAAAATGACATTGCTGCAAGTTCGCCCACGCTCTTACTCAACTACCAACTCATTCACTCACACACCTACCAACCAAGGGGGCGTGGCTGCCACAATTCGCTGAGGTGCGCCCCATAGCCGTGACATGATCGTGGGTTCGAATCCCAGATACTCCCCCGGGCAGTTTCTGTGCGCATATTACCCATGGTTGACGGTTTCATCTAACGGCCTGTATGATTGGGGTTTGCTATCATATTTAAACTTGATACTCCATGATATGATATACTTTTTGCAGTGTTAAGCCAGGCTCACTCGCTCACACGAAACGTGTCATTAAGTATCTAACGATATATCAAAGCACCGGTTGACTGTAATAAATGCTGACAAATGCGTGTCTATGTTACCTTGCCGAAACGGTGTTCAAAATTTAATTATGTTGTAATAACATGCACTTGTTAACAATAGATTGCAACACACATCCTTATATTTCTCTTTCTCTCAGAAATAATGCCTGATGCGACCATAAATCTTCACTCACTCATTTTTCTTCCAGACAAGGATGTGGATGCACAGCTGAATGGCACGATTCAACCGGAGCCCGTGTCTTTTGTTGATAGCGCTCACTATACAACGTGTATATGCAGTATATATATATACACACCAATAAACCATGAACGGGACATAGTCTGGGTGTTATTTTTGTTTGTTTTTTGAACACCACTCAGCAATATTCCAGCTATATGACAGCGATCTGTAAATAATCGAGTCTGGATCAGGCAAGCTAGTGCTTGACATCATGAGCATCGACCTACGCAATTGAGATACGATGTCATGCATCAACCAAGTCAGGAAGTCTGACCACCGGATACGTAAGTCACCTCTTACAAGCACCGGTTGCTGAAGACCAATTGTAACCCGGATGTTCAATGTGCTAAATATATCGGAAAGAAACATTAGGTGAATGTGTGAAGAAAAACAAACTATTCATCGGTTGGCCTCAATTCAAGCTAACACCGGTCAGAAGAACCTGTCACGCATATCTAGTCCTGGGTTAGCTGTTATCTGTAGATCTACTACAACGTGGTGAAAGACCTTGCACTATGTTCAAGCTTTATGTCGTCGTCTTAACCTTATCCCTCTTGTTGGTGATAAATGGTAAGAAGGTTTCTAAGTTTTTTGTAAGATAATATACCTAATAATATATATATATATTAATTGGCAAACGTCTGTTGATTCGGTTCTTTGCTTCAGTGTAATCTGAAATGCCCAAATCACAGTGCCTACTTCTTACATTGATTCAGAAATGGTACTTTTCTTTCGTATTTTTCAGGATCCCCAGTCGAACAGGAAAAGCGGATGCTATTAATATACAGACCCAAGCGTATGATTCATTTTTATAACATCTTATACAGAAAGTGTGAGATACGTATGCCTAGTACTGATATATATATGCAATGTTATCTCGTCAGATGTCACACATTCTTCTCCTGTATGAAAACATACACTGATGTAATCATATATAACATGCGTAAAGTTTGTTCTTTACGCCGCACTCAGCAATATTACAGCTGTATGACGCCAGCCTATAAATAATCGAGTCTGGGCCCCGTTCCACAAAGCGATCTTAAGTGATCGTAAGTCCCATACTTTAACATAGGTCTACGATCATCGTAGCGCTAAGATCGCTTTGAGGAACGGGGCCCTGGACCAGACGATCCAGTAATTGGTATTGTGAGGAACGGTCCACGCTGTCGGGGTACGACACACAATCAATCAAGTCACCGAGCCTGACCCCACGGATCCATGTAGTGGCCTCTCTCTCTCTCTCTCTCTCTCTCTCTCCAGACTGAGTGTCTCTGACCTCTTGTGTTTCAGAGTGCACGAACAACCCGTGCTTCCAAGATCCGTGTAATTATTCCAAGTGCCCCTCCCACCCGGAAGCTACGTGCCAGTATGTATATGTTATATCACTGCGTGTCAACACGTAATGATGATGACGCAGGTCGTACAAGTTACCAAGGTTCATAATCGGAACGAAATCCTGGCACGGCTAAGGGGCGCAATTCTGCATAACAACTTGCGACTCTTGAGCCCAACGTGCCACTGGTACCTTAAACTACGAAGAATATTTCAAAACTGCTAACGTACCTTAAAGAATGTCAAAACTAATCATGTTACTTTTGTTTGTTTGTACGCTGTATCGTCGGGAAACTGTGTCATCGCCTATATTAAGAATATAAACTGTGGGGCAAAAGAAAGTATACCGAGGTTGTTTTTTTTATGTAAATGAAAAGTGAAAGAACTGTTGTTAAATTTGATTATATTCATTTAACCATCACTCATTCATACAACAATTTTCTGAAAATTAATCTGTCTGGGTAATGTTGGGTAAATATAAATTGGTTCAATGAAGCCTGAAGTAAGAAATTTATTTGCTGCTACATGTCCCTACCATGTTTGAAATGTTCCAAAAAAGCAAATTTATTGATTTTCAAATATAAGATGTCTAAGAGTTGTGTATTATGCGAACAACGTTGTTTTTTATTTTAATTTTAAAAAAATCAAATTACATTTTTTTTAAATAAAACAATATAGAAATATTCATTCAATGCTGATAAAGTGCCAGTACAGTTCATTGTTTGGAAATAATATCCCTGACTTAAGATATTTTCAGTTGACAATCAAACATACCATCAAATTAAATGAGATGTATAGTTTCTTTTGCTCCTCAGTTTATAAACATCTACCCATAACGGTAATGTACAGCATGGAAGGGATTGAACGTTATGTTCCAAATCGATAGAGTATTGTCCCATCGCTCTTGTCGAATGTCTATTGAAAGACATGTTTATTGTTGTACATACACTGTACCTGTTATTGTCTTCAGCTTCGACTGCAGTTGCAACGCTTTCTTCCTCGACCAGAGTGAAGTGCCGGTTTACTGCGAGACTCTCTCAATCGGATAAAGTAGAATGTATTTCTTCAATAAAAGTTAGCTTTACCCTCGTTGTGCTTTGCCTCTTTTAGTACACACGGATAGTTTATGTGTCGTTCGAATGTTTGTCGAAATCAGTCATGCAGATGTCCTGTTTATACCGGATTAAGAGAGGGGTCATCGCCTTTACAAAGAGTAAATATTTAAGTACCAAATTCGATGTTTTATTACAAAAGAAGCAAAAAAAATCATTATTATCTAAGTGCCACGCGTTTTACAGCACATGAAATACTTGATCTGTCAAGTAGTTAGGTACAATGCCAGGTCATGAATACACAATGCAATTTAGAAAGTGGTCAAATGTAACCGATGTTATATTTGGGATAACACTTTCTGAGTAAAGTACAGATTCTAGTACTTTTTTGGGTTGAGTCCCGTTCGGGATTCGAACCCACACTTGGTCAGTATGACCTATGAGACACTAAAGTCTTTAAGAATGTTGTTTTAACTATATATAATGAAGTTTTGTGATGGTGGTCTATAAATAATCGAGCCTGTGCCAGTTAAATCAGTGGCTAATAGCATGAATACATCCCTGATTGTCCATATATTATCTATCTATTGTATTTGATAAACAGCCTGGATTGATTAATCTTATCTAACCTAGGTGAGGTGAAATAGGGTTTAATGTCGCGTTCAGATTATTTCTTTTCTATAGCCACGTGCATGCACGTGTGTGTGAGGCTGCTTGTGTCCGGTTTTACAGTGCTTACCGCAAGTTAACCCACTCAGTCAGTATATAATCACTCCAAGCCAACCAGTCCTTGTTTTATCCCCTCAATGCTGAGCGCCAGAGATTAGTGAGTGAGTGAGTGAGTGAGTATGGTTTTACGCCGCTTTTAGCAATATTCCAGCAATATCACGGCGGGGGACACCAGAAATGGGCTTCACACATTGTACCCATGTCGGGAATCGAACCCGGGTCTTCGGCGTTGCGGGCCAACGCTTTAACCACTAGGCTACCCGACCGCCCCGCGCCAGAGATTAGATAACCGAGTGAGTGAGGGAGTGATTTGGGTTGAACAGTATTCCAGTTATATCCCGGCGTGTCACCTTAATGTTGGAGGAAGGCCCGATGTGATGCTGGTCTTAGATGCTTACCACGGGTCTAGTGCTGACATACCAAGAAACATAATCAGGGTGGACCGGGATTCGAACCCACGACCATAGATTTTTGGTTTGGGCGTACCCAATGGCCTCAACTCTGCACAATGGGATGTCCTAAGCGGTATACGAATTTAATGAGATTGAGGTTATCTAGGCATGTGATTAATCCGTTTTGTTTATCTAAAGCAGTAATTGTTTATTGTTAAGCAAGTTTATCTATGCAGTCGTTTAAATATGCAGCTACTCGCCGACCCGTCTCGCATCAAAACACGGGCCTGTGTACTCGCGGGCAGATGACCGCGGAGTACGCTGATCACTGTGCCGGATTAACGAGACTGATTAATGAGTGATTTCAGCAATTTCAGCACTCGGTTCCTGCATCAAGACAAGGTGACCTATGTTACGAGGTGATTTGCAAATTGAAACGCAAGGATTAAACCCAGAAATCGTGAAATCAGTAAATCACAAGATCAGAATTAACAAGTTAAATTGAAACACGTAGTTTTATAAGTTTACAATCACAAAATGCAAAATAATGGGCCAAATAAGTGGCAGCACCAGTAAGTAACACGTCGAGTGTCTTGTAACATGTGTCCGTGCTGAATCCGTAATAGTGTTGGAAGCTGGCGGGATGTTCGGAGTTTTCAGATAGGTACCCTCTCCGAACTTGTAGGTAGATAAGACGTAGTCAAATCGTAAAGGCATCGAATCGCCCTCATTTCGCTCTTATAAAGGTACAGCCAGTCTTCTAGAAACTGTCACGGAACCTCAAGAACGATCAAGCTTGAAATGTGTATTTCCAACAACAAGGGGTGGTAACTCTAATCACACTTCTTGTTAAAATTTGGACAATACAACACCCGACATTTTAGTAGCGCTTCAGTCATTTGCTGCCCCTGCTTCCTCTAAATTATACCCATTGGGTTGACTGTGTAAGCATCGGTTGTGTTTAGCGCCTGGGTATAAATTATCCTACGTAAGTTGGACAGCTGGTTACATCTTAAACAAACCCGCGAAGATCCGGTTCAGAATAGGTCTTTAGCAACCCATTCCTGCAGTAAAATAAGACTATGTTTGTCGTAAGAGGCGACTAACGGGATCGGGTGGTCAGGGTCTCTGACTTGGTTGATGCATGTCATCGATCCCAATTGTGTGGATCGATGCTCATGATGTCAATCACTGGATTGTCTGGTCCAGACTTGATTATTTACAGACCGCCGCCACAAAGCTGGAATATTGCTGAGTGCGGCGTTAAACAACAAACAAACTAATACATCTTAAATTAGCACTAAAACAAACTAACCAACAGGTTTGTAACTAGGCTTCTCACGGACACACAAACCTACACATGATCGGGGCCATCGGAACCGCTCGTAAATCTCGAACACCACCATCACCATTAAAAGCCAGAAAACGTAAACTATCGTAAGAAAACGGGGTATGTGTCTGTGCCCCAAGATGTCCTTTTGTGGAAGAATGTACAGCCATGTTGGTTGTTGAAAGGTAAAACAAATGCATGCCGGGTATCTAGGTATAGATCTAGGTAAAGAGGTGTGACAGGCTGATTGGATACTTAAAGCATATTGCTTGCAAGGATTAGCTATTCATAGGCAGACGAGATGTAATACCCTTGATCTCTGTTAATCAAATGTTTGGTGACGACGGACTTTATCAAACTGAATTTGATGGCCGAGAAGTTCTTTTTGGTGGTCTTTCTGTCCAAGAACAATCCATGTCATGTTATCATTTTGGGAATTTCTTTACATATGTGATACTGTGCACTAGTGAATCTCATTCATGATCTCTAATTGTTTAGACATAATAAATAACATGTCCCGTATACATTAGGTTGCCATGTCTGACCTTGTTCGCATAACGTTTGTCATCAGAGGTTTTCTTTGTCTGTCAACGAGTACCTATTATACGACTACTTCCGGTCAAATGCAAAATAAACCCGCGAGCAGCGTTAGCAAAGAGGCTGATCAACGGTGTTGTCGCTATATTTTTGTCGGTGGGTACTACTCATTCTATACAGCTTAACTATTCCGCTTTCTGCACAATTCCTTGAGTTCTAACAGTTAATTTAATCGATTTAAAACGATTTTCCGCCTTTTCGATGGTGTTAGAATAATGTTTACAGTTTTCGCGCACTGGGGATTTCGTTTTCATCTTCTCTATGTTTTACACTCACATTTGGGATTAACTACCAATATTTTGTTTCCCCGCTTACTTAAGATGTATATGTTACACCAATGGCCTAGATATATGCAGGGGATTAAAACGGAATTGGCAATGAATATATAACTTTATGTGTGATTGGTTTATGGCTTTTTAACCACCCACTTCAATAATCATGATAATGTTACCTTATCCGGGTGTTCCCTATTTTCAACTCCCTATGTTGTGATCTGATGTGATTTTTCTAAAACTACTTTAATGTATGTCAAACCTGAATAGATTTGATGGAAAATATGAAGTTCATCTTTATGAAACATTGTCTGTGTTCATTCATTTTGAAAATAATGTAGCACTATTGTAAACATGATCATGATGATTAGTATTACATTCAAGATGAATTAAAGAACATTTTACGTTAGTGCTGAAACAGGCGAGGCTCTGAAATAGTTTTCATGGGGATATATATGTTGGAAAAAGTTATAGAATGACTGACCTGTGGCATTGCTTTTTGTTATGAAACTATGTCTTGCCCTGCAGAATTAACATTTTTGCTTCATTTTCAGTGTAGGAAGTGAACAATGGGTGAGACACCAAATGAGTTCAAGTTGAAAAATTCTCCAGAAGATGGAATCTCTGCCGTCAAGTTCGGCCCCAACACAAACCAGTTTCTGCTGGTGTCATCATGGGACACCAGTGTTAGGTTGTATGACATTGTCACTGACAATATGAGAATACAGTATGGTCACACTGCCCCAGTACTGGACTGTTGTTTTCAAGTGAGTACTGACCTTAATACTTAAGAACACTCATTATGAGAAACATAAATATACTACATGTACTAAAGAATGGTAATTTTATTACATCAACACTGTACAATTGTAGGACTAATCCGTACAATTTACTTTACATTTATGGAATTATGAAACCTGTGACACTTTGCTCAGCATTTATAACGGTTGAAAGTCCAACTGCAATATAAATCATGAGTCACATTTAAATGTAATCGGTCTATTACCGTTGACCGACTACCATCTGAAACTCGAGCATGCCCTTGGTTACAGGATGTGCATAGACATGAGAGGTGGTAGTTAACTATTGTTGGTTACCCCTGCTATAGTTGATATGTGCTGTCATTATGCAGGGTTTTAACGAATGCCAAATAATGCTTCCTATGCTCATAAAATTAAGACCAAATTAGTGATAGAGCATCCGCCTGGAGAGCAGAAAGTCTGGGGTTTAATCCCTGGCCACGTCATAACAAAAAACAATAAAAGATGGTACATGTTGTTACCCTGCTTGGCGCTCCACGTTTAGGGGCTAAAACAAGGACTGGTCCACAAAGAATATCCACTGTGCGTCACTGGATGTAAAAGAGTATGAATGTTGGAAAGATTTAAACTGAAATGTGTACCTGAGATTTACCTGATATTTTTGTTCTGATATGAAACACTATCAATATTTGGACAGCCATGTCAGATTTTCTTCTCTCAATCACTTTGTTTCGATTCACACAAGGAAATATCCATATGTCATCTAATAATAAGCATTAGGCATCACACATACTTTGTACTGAATGCATAATCTGCTTTTGGTACTGTAATCACCCTGGCATCCCAATTTATAGCCTGGGACCCCTCAAAACTTATTCCCATATGGCCTCCAGGACTCGCAAGTATATGGACCGAGGTAAATCACAGATGATATGGCTATGGTGAATGAAATTAAGAGAAACTAAACAGTAATGACTTTTGTACCTGGCCATTCTTAATCATTCTGGGTATTGGTACTGCATTTTTGGTGAAAAAAGTAACCTATGGCTGTCATACGAGGCAAAAACATAGGTCATGTGATCAGGCTTAGTGACTTAGTTTATTCATGTCACTGTAACCTGATGGCATAGAGTGTTGCTCATTGTACCAATCACTGGTTTGTCAGCTCAAAACTCAATTATTTACTGTCCGCTGTCACATAGCTGGAATATTTTTGAGTGTAGGGTTTACAAGGAGCAAAACCAAAACTATGTATGAAGTATGTGTCAGTATGTCTGCAGCATACATGGATGTATTGTCACGGTGCTTCCATTTTACATTTGTAGGACACCGTTCATGCATACAGTGGAGGGCTGGACAAGACTCTCAAGATGTTTGACTTCAATGCCACAACAGGTAATACAAAAATAGTCAAACACCATCACCTTAAAAAAGGAGGGCATAGGTGGTCCAGTCACTTATGGGGAAGCAGTTTCCTGTGCAGAGTTGCATCCCTTGAGCTTGCCAGGATTCTATGATCATGAGCCTAGATTAACTTTGATTATGATCCTTGGTTTGTCAGCACTCCTGTGTACTCATGTGATTTACCAAAGTGGTAAACGACCCAGACCTGCATCACCTCAGGCTTTCTTGATATAACTGAAATACTGTTCAAAGCTGCACTAAGCCCAACTTGCTCACTGTCTCACAGGAACAAAAGACAATATTTAGATTGAACATGTTTGAAGAAGGGGAGTGATGTTTAACTTGAACTAAGCCTGGTGCAGTGCAGTCCAAAATACGCAAGTGATGTAAGCATTATTACTGACTTTCAAGAGAATGAAAATCTCCTGTATTTCCTTCTGCATGTAGTCACAGAAGGTGTCTCAATTTGCTGTGCAGAGTTGCGTCCCTTGGGTATGCCAGAAACCTATGAACATGGGTTTGAATCCCGGTTCTAGGTTTGTCAGCACCATAGCCGTGCTCCTGGGTTTCACCACAGTGGTAAATGTCTGAGACCAGCATCACTTCAGTTCAAGCTTTCGTTCCAGCCGGGGGGGCATGCCAGAAACCTATGATTGTGGTTTGAATCCCGGTTCGTCCCGATTATGTTTCTAGGTTTGTCAGCACCATACCCATGCTCGTGGGTTTCACCGAAGTGGTAAACGTCTGAGACCTGCATCACTTCGGGCTTTCCTCCCACATTAAGCTGACACACCGCGATATAACTGGAATACTGTTAAAAGCAGCGTTAAACCCAACTCACTCACTCACTCACTCACTCACTCACTCACTCACTCACTCACTCACTCACTCACTCACTCACTCACTCACTCACTCACTCACTCACTCACTCACTCACTCACTCACTCACTCACTCACTCACTCACTCACTCACTCACTCACTCACTCACTCACTCACTCACTCACTCACTCACTCACTCACTCACTCACTCACTCACTCACTCACTCACTCACTCACTCACTCACTCACTCACTCACTCACTCACTCACTCACTCACTCACTCACTCACTCACTCACTCACTCACTCACTCACTCACTCACTCACTCACTCACTCACTCACTCACTCACTCACTCACTCACTCACTCACTCACTCACTCACTCACTCACTCACTCACTCACTCACTCACTCACTCACTCACTCACTCACTCACTCACTCACTCACTCACTCACTCACTCACTCACTCACTCACTCACTCACTCACTCACTCACTCACTCACTCACTCACTCACTCACTCACTCACTCCAGCCGACATGCTGTGATATAACTGGAATACTGTTCAACCGGGTTGATGATGATTGCCACCAAGAGTATAGCCAATTATGTTTTCTATTTCGCAGTATTGTTGCCCCCTCATCATACTCATCAAGCATCATACAAAGATGATAAGTTTAACTCCTGATAATACCTGTGAAGGTGGGGGTTAGAATAGGTCTTCAGCAACCCATGCTTGCCGTAAAAGGCGACAATGATTGTCGTACGAGACGACTAGCAGGATTGGGTGGTCAGACTTGCTGAGATCAATTAAGATGTTAATCACTGGATTGTTTGGTCTAGTCTCGATTATTTACAGACTACCGTCATTTAGCTGGAATATTGCTGAGTGTGGCGTTAAGCAACAAACAAACAAAAGTTTCTGATAATTGCTACAATTAGGTCCTATAATGATTATCTTGGTCTGATTGAATGATAATCATGTTGGTATAATCATGAGGTAGTTGTTTACACTAACTGTTGAAGTCCTGGTATAAGACGGGGGCACGGGTGGCCCAGTCGTCTAAGGCGCTGCGATTCGCTGTGCAGAGTTGCGTCCCTTGGGAACGCCAGAAACCTATGATTGTGGGTTCGAATCCCGGTTTGCCCCGATTATGTTTCTAGGTTTGTCAGCACCATACCCGTGCTCGTGGGTTTCACGGAAGTGGTAAACGTCTGAGACCTGCATCACTTCGGGCTTTCCTCCCACATTAAGCTGACACACTGTGATATAACTGGAATAATGTTAAAAGCGGCCTTAAACCCAACTCACTCACTGGTATAAGACAGTCACACATACCTCAGTGGTCCATAATTGCATCCCTTATCTGCCAGGGTTAGCTGGTTCTGGGTTTGAATCCCAGATGATTCACATTTCATTGCCACCAACCTTGCTTGTGCTTTACAAAAGTGGTTTTGTCCCTCATTAAGCTGTCACACTGCGATATGACAAATACTGTTATAGAGGCGTTAAGCTTAAAATGATTGTGGACTCTCACTATATATGTTAAAAAGTGTTTTGAATATTCAGAAAGTAAAAACTCTGAATGTCATCATCTTGTAGTGAAAAGCTGTAAATGTTTGACAGAGACCAACGTCGGGAGCCATGAAGCTCCTATCCGCTGTGTGGAGTTCTGCAATGAAGTCAATGTTGTGATCACCGGCAGCTGGGACTCAACCGTCAAACTGTGGGACCCTCGCACGCCGTGCTGTGCTGGTTCCTTCTCTCAGCCTGACAAGGTAACTTGAGATCATTACCATGGAGACAGGAGGTCTTAACTGTTAATATGCCTCTAGAGTTATGAAGAAAACTATCCTTGACATTATAATGCCTTGTCTATAATCGTCATAAAGCCCTGAGTTTTGTCATTGTAGTGACAGAACAGCAAAAGGATACAGATAACAAAGGGAGATAACTCTGAAAGAGACAAAAATCTAAACGTGACATTTTAAAGGTCTAGTATCAGTGAAGACATGGTTGACTTATAGGGGTGAAATGATACTGCAAGATAATGATAAGATACATATCATGATATGCATATTTACGTCATCGGGTGGGAACTTGATATAAATAAATATTTCAGATCAGGTTCAAAAGGAAAAGTATGACCCAAAGTAACACATGGCCTGTTCAACCCTTGCAGATCCCGGTTAGAATGGGTCTTCAGCAACCCATGCTTGTTGTTAGAGGCGATAGTGGGATCAGGTGGAAAGACTCACTGACTTAGTTGATGCATGTCATCATACCCCAATTGCTGAGATCAGTCACTGTATTGTCTCGTCCAGGCTAGATTATTTACAGCCCCCCATCATACAGCTGGAATATTGATGAGTGGGGCGTTAAAAAACAAAGAAACAAAAAAAAAAGTCATCAAGTCTTACTAAAAGACTAGAACACCTTAGACAACACATAGGCTAAATATACCACAATGGAGTTCTTTTTCTGTTTGTCTGCAACATCTTGGTTAAACATGTCTCACAAAACAAACAATTTAAAGAGTAATCATTGTATAGTGCCCTGTTCTGTGTGTAACTCAAGATCTAAAGACCGCCTCCGTGGTCTAGTGGTAGAGCGTCCGCCCGGAGAGCGGAAGGTCCGGGGTTCAATCCCCGGCCGCGTCATACCAAAAGACGTTAAAAGATTGTACTTGTTGTTACCCTGTCTGGCGCTTGGCATTAAAGGCTTAAACAAGGACTGGTCGGCTCGGAGTCAGTATACTGTGTCTGAGTGGGGTAATCATGTTAAACTGCGGCATGGTATCTCAGTGTGCTAGCACTATAAATCGGCATCAGTCTGGACTAGTACAAGCAGCCACACACACACATACACGTGCATGCACGTCGGTATATAAGTGCAATAATCGTGGACGCGACGACCCAATTTCACCTCACCAAGATCTACACTTAAGCCTGAAATGGCTGTTTGTTGGCACTCTCTAACAATTACTAAATCTGAGTATGGTGTAACTCCTCCACTGCAGGTGTACACGATGTCTGTGTGTGGAGATCGGCTGGTTGTGGGGACAGCAGGAAGGAAGATCCTAGTGTGGGATCTACGTAACATGGGCTACGTACAGCAGCGACGAGAGTCCAGTCTCAAGTACCAGACTCGATGTATCAGGACCTTCCCAAACAAACAGGGCTACGTCCTCAGCTCCATTGAAGGTAGGTTGGATTTGGTGTAACTTCAACATGTACAAAACTACACTGTGCATGGACAAACAATGTATATGTTTATCATTACAGCATTAGTTTTTTGTGTTTGTGTTTTGTTTTCATTGCAAATTTGCAAACATCAAATGGCCACACTTTTGATCGGGTGGTCAGGCTCGCTGACTTGGTTGATGCATGTCATCGATCTAAATTGCGCGGATCAATGCTCATGATATCGATCGCTGGATTGTCTGTTCCAGATTCAATTGTTTACGGACCGCCGTCATATAGCTGGAATATTTCTGAGTGCGGCGTTAAACAACAAACAAAAACAAATTTATAGTACCTAATTTACCATTCATTCCAGGCCGAGTAGCAGTGGAGTACCTAGACCCCAGCCCAGAGATTCAGAAAAAGAAGTATGCCTTTAAGTGTCACCGTATTAAGGAGGGTGGGGCTGAGCTCATCTACCCTGTCAACGCCATCGCCTTCCACAGTGTCTACAACACCTTCGCCACCGGTGGCTCAGATGGCTATGTCAACATCTGGGATGGTTTTAACAAGAAGAGACTGTGTCAGTTCCACAGGTGAGATGAGATGAGCTTTTGGTGAACAGTGAATAGCACCCACACTTGGGGGGTGAAGGGATAATGTCAGACCCAACACTTGGGGGATGGTTGGGTGGGAATGTCAGACCCAATGCTTGGGGAGATAAGGGTTGTGGGGGGTCATTATGATGTGCAAGATGCAAGTTTGATTCCCAACATTGTCAAGCTCTTTCTTGGTGCTGCTTGTGTGACATTGCAATCATCATAATTATTTTCTGAAAACATGTCACACCTATATCACTCACAAAGGGATCAGTTGTTGCCTTCATCATGGAATGAAACTACTGGAACACCAGTTTCATTGTTTTGATTAAGCCATAAATTATGTGCTGAGTCAGGACTTGCTGACAGCTCTTCTTCCCAGCTCTCCAGGATTCCCAGTTACCACTGTTTCTGTTGATTAAAATATTTCACCTTGTCACACCTCTTGTCCCGATGGGGATTATGGGGAAGTATACAGGTCCCCGGCAACCTACGCTGGTCATTAGACGTGACTTAATGGTGAGTGAGTGAGTTGGGTTTAGCGCCTCTTTTAACAGTATTCCAGTTATATCACAGCATGTCAGCTTAATGTGGGAGGAAAGCCCGAAGTGATGCAGGTCTTAGACGTTTACCACTTCGGTGAAACCCACGAGCACGGGTATGGTGCTGACAAACCTAGAAACATAATTGGGGCAAACCGGGATTCGAACCCACAATCATAGGTTTCTACACAGCAAATCAAGGCACCTTAGACGAACTGGGGTGAGGCTTGGTGAAATGGTTGCTTGCTGCATCCCAGTTGTGTAGATCAATGCTCATGATGTCAATCCCAGGACTATCTGATCCAGACTCAGTTATATACAGATCACTGTTATAGGCTTAAAAAAATGAAAGAATTGGTTTACAGGCAATGACTTTTGAAAATATAGCGTGGGTGTTTTTGTGTGTGTTTGTTTTGCTTGTTCAACCTAATATGTAACCAATGAACAGTTGTGTACCATCAACCTGGGAAAAGGGCCTCCCTACATAAACAGGCATACAAACTCCTATTGCCGCCATGACCATAACACGAGATGTGCAGTAAAGCAGTGGGCATGTAAAGGGAAGTAACTGTGTGCTATATTTGGTCTCATTATTGTTTTTAAGTATCAGGATTTTATATGTTTTGAAAATGGAAATAAAAACTTTATGATGATGCGGGCGGTTCCTGAGAACAAAGACTATTATATTTTTTAGCCATACTCTGGAATATTGCCGAGTGTGGTATTTAATAAGAAACACACATTTGTAACTATGTCCTCCATTTTTGTCCAGATACCCGACCAGCATCGCCTCCCTTTCATTCAGCAGTGATGGGTCTGTCCTGGCTATTGCTTCTTCCTACATGTACGAGCAGGACGAACCTGATACCCTACAGGAGGACGACATCTACATCCGCAACGTCAGTGACCAGGAGACCAAGCCCAAGTCATAACACTCATCTTGTATCTCGGGCATTGATGGATAGATTGGAAGGGGCTCTGCTGTGTAAGGGATGGGGTGCTTAAAATAAGGTTTATGGGACTACGGTGTCATAGGGGGTTGGCAATGACTTTGTGCGGTACAGTGTGAGGGATGGCGTGGTTCGATGCGACCACTCTGTTGTAGAGGTTGCAATGATTGGAAGGGGTGGCACTGTGTGAGGGATGGGGAGATTACATATGGGTTTGAGGGGAACACAGTGTTGTAAGGGGTACAGCCCTGTAAGTTTGATTTGTTAGGGAGCCAAGCAGCTCCTAACATGAATATTTTAGGAGCCAAACTTAAGATTTTGGGAGCCAACAGATATCTTATACAGGTATTGTCGCAAGTTATGTTCACTTTTAAGGGTGGGGTAGGGTGGCGTTGAGTGGGAGGGGCTGGGCTGGGTGGCACAGAGTGGGAGGGGGTGGGCTGGGGTAGGGTGGCGTTGAGTGGGAGGGGCCAGGCTGGGATAGGGCGGCGTTAAGTGGGAGGGGCTGGGCTGGAGCAGGGTGGCGTTGAGTGGGAGGGGCCGGGCTGGGGTAGGGTGGCGTTGAGTGGGAGGGGCCAAGCTGGGGTAGGGGGGCTTTGAGTGGGAGGGGCTGGGCTTGGTGGTATTGAGTGGGAGGGGGCGGGCTGGGGTAGGGTGGCGTTGATTCGGAGGGTCTGGGATGGGGCGAGGCGTGTGTGTGCATTGAGGGATAACTTGACTAAACAGTGTGTAAAACAAGTTGATAGAAAGTGGGGAGGATGCAGTGAACATCCAACGTGCCTAAGTAATGAACAGACATTTTGTGCTTCTTTGAGTGGTATCAATGATGCATTGATCACTAGCTTCATAGTCAACAATGTTGACAAACACTGCAAGCCATGTCAGACATCACATGTACTTTGCAGTTGTTATCTTTGTTAAGTTGTTCACGGTACCCAGTTTGTTCATGGTACCCACCTTTTTTACCTGAAATTGTGTTTTTCCAGAAAATATCATCTCCACTGAGTACATCGATGCAAAGAGGGGAAATGACATAATTTATAGAATGTAATGAAATGATATTTTTATCGACATGATGAGTGGACAGATTATCGTGTGTTTCACAGTTTCATATTTCAGTCCGAATACTTCCTCAGCTGTCATTTTAATCAAAGTGGATTCTCAAACATTAACATCTGTATATTGTCATTGGCAAATGTCATATTTTACCTATTTGGATCATTTGTGACATTTAACATGGTTACTTTTCATGTTCTGATATTTGCAGCAGTTCTCAACAACGATCCATAACGTTATATTGAACAGTTTAGGATAAAGGACATTGTGTATTTCACTGTGCTAAAGGCCTAAACATCATATACCATTTTTATCTCTATATCAACATGCAGGTATGTCTATATCAACATGCAGATGTCATTATATGAACATTATTTAGTAATACCGTATTCGACCTAATAAGCGCCCACGGCTATATTTGCTAATATATTGGCTATTGAACAATCCCAACCCCTTCCGAATAATCAATGTACACAAGACTTATTTATTTGTGTATAATATGTGTGTTATATGCATCCTCAATTATGGGAAATTAAATTCTGGAAAAATATATCTGTCGTATATAAACACATTTCAGGCTGTCAGCATGAACCACGAAATTTACGATCTTTCAACTCTGTTCTTTTTCACAAAAATAATGTTCTAATAAGAGCCCCCTATTTCAAATTTTGAGAGCGCCCTGGGCGCTTATTATATCGAATACGGTACAATGTTTAAGAAACTTAACAAACAATACAAAGATGTGTTAATCATTTTGCCAATGTTATCATGGTATGTTACAATATCAGTATCCAATAAAAACATTGCATTTGGTGAAGTCATTTTCAGTTTTGTCTAGGCAAAAAGTCTCTTTGAAAAATTAATGTCATGACGAGAATGGCGTTTCTCCTATGACATTTCTATTAAAGAGATGAGTGTTTTGTTGTTAAATGTATTGGCTTTTTAGTTGATGTTATTTATCATTGATTCTGGGTGGGGATTAGGTCCCCAAAATAACTACATGTCAAAAACACTACAGTCTAAAACAACAAAGTTAATGGTCCAGTGGGCAGCTAATCCTATGCCTGTTGCCTCTATGCCAAAGTGGGCTTACAACATGTAAATACAAAAACGCTGAACAATGTTTCATTTGTCAGAAAATGTGTTAAGGTTAACTGAGGTTAAATTCACGGGTGGCCCAGTCGTCTAAGGCGCCGCGATTCGCTGTGCATAGTTGCGTCCTTTGGGCACGCCAGAAACCTATGATTGTGGGTTCGAATCCCGGTTCGCCCGATTGTGTTTCTAGGTTTGTCAGCACAATACCCGTGCTCGTGGGTTTCACCACGGACTTGTATGGTTATATAGGTCCGTGGTTTCACCGAAGTGATAAACGTCTGAGACCTGCATCACTTCGGGCTTTCCTCCCACATTAAGCTGACACGCTGCGATATAAGCAGCGTTAAACACAACTCACTCACTCCACCTTCCTACTCCTGGACTATTCCACTACATCAGTGGGATATGACTTTGTTTCAACTAAGTGTAGGGGTTTTGGCATGTGGTGATTATTGCATGTAGTTGTTTTGGGAGACAACCACCCCCAGCTACATGAGCTTGTCATAAGGGGTGACTAAACAGATTTGGTGACCAGACTCGATGACTTGGTTGATTACTTGTAATGGTATCCAAATTGCGTGGGTCAGTGCTCGTGATGTCATCACTGGATTGTCTGGTTCATACCTGGTTCTTTAAAGACCGCTGGAATATTGCTGAGTGTGGCATTAAACAACAAACACACATATATATCATTTTTAACTTAGTGGTACCTCTAGTATTGGTCATAGTGCTGCAATTTAGTGTACAAGGAACCCATGGCCGTTGGTTCACGCCTAGTTGATGATCATTTAAGATCATTAGTGATCATCCCGAGGCAAGGGAGTTAACTGACTATAAAAGTCCAGTTCACCCTTGCCGAACATGGCTGAATTTCCAGGCTCAATCGTAGCGCTACCAGTGTCTGTTACGATTTATGTCCCTTCTATGTTCCTCCTAGTGACCAATCAGATTCCACCTCTCATATAACATGCACTTGCTTCAAACAAAATGGCGACGCCCACTTAAGACGATCTGATCGATAATCAAGATCTGTATTTTAATAAAACGGGTCGTACCTAGCAAAGTGCAAAATCCTGCAGTCGACCGAAATCTGCATGTTGAAATCCATGTTGTTTGCGAACCGGATGTCTTGTTTGTCACGCGGTTTTGATTACACAATGCATAGACTCTAGCCAAAATGTAATTCCGAAATTCCATCCTAGTTCGGCAAGGGTGGAAACCGGACTTTTATAGTCAGTTAACGCCCTTGCCTAGGGAAGATGTCATTGTTATCATTGACTCATCACCATAACACAGAGTAATAGGTATTTGCGTATCTTGGGTTCCGCTCCAATAGTTTGCTGATACACTGTGATCTGGAATTCTTCGTGTAGCATTTTAACCCAACTCACTCAATCCCACTGAACTGGTTTTAACAATATTCGATCAATATCACAGATTAGAACATCTATGACGTCATCCTATTGCTTAAACGCTCCATTATTTTTTTCAGGAATGGACAGTTATTTGTCAATAATGTATTCTCTTGAACTATTTCAATTAATTTAATCTTGGAAAAGACGGAACTATTTCCTTATATACAGACAAGTGTATGATTTCAAATTTTGTCAGAAAATATATGTCGCCAGCGAGGTTCGAACCCGCATAGTGTGACACGAGGACGTCTTTTTGTTGACCTCAGCTACAGCGATGCATGACAGTACAGCGTGAAATTAACTGTTAAATATATAGACGGGAATGTCCGAGTAACTCTCCATTCCTTAAAAGTAATGGAGCCGAGGCCATTATTTTTAAGGAATGGAGAGTTACGAGGACATTCCCCTCTACGTGGGACACCATGACTTGGCTTCACACACTCTGCTACTGTTAGTATTTCAATGCGATTCAATGCTTTAGCTACTAGACCAAACAATCTAATTAAAATCAGCTCTAAGCTCTCACTACCGTTCTGGACCCGGTTGTATTAACCCTTTACTAAAAATGGCTACATTAAACCCAAATGATACATTAGTCTTAATGCACAATTATAATTTTGATAGGCTACACTCATTATTATGCACAGGGGTAAGTGTGTCCCAATTGTCGAATTCGCTGTGCATAAATTTGATGTGCCGGAATCCTGTTATCTTGTGTTCGAATCCCAGATTCACCCTGATTATGATCCTTGGTTTGTCAGCACCACACCAACCTCGATTAGGACACCCGTTTCACAGAAGTGGCAAACTCCAGTGACCTACATCACTTCGGTCTTTCTCACACATGGCACGACCTGATATAACACAATAATGTAAATAGCAGGGCTAAACCCAGGTCACTCACTTTAACCACTTAGACCGAATACCGGATCACTAAGCAGAGTGCTGATACATTGAAATATTATCCTGTGGCATGTAAGACAATAAACCGTATATCAGCATGCCTTCACTTTCGGGTCTATATAATATATAATCTGATATTCCCGGGTGACACTTTGGATTCAACTACATATCCACGTGTGTTATGTGGTAGTTATGTATACAGTTTATAGAAAGAGGGGTTATAAAACTATTGGTGTCTCATTGTCAACACGTATCTCCGACGCGGCTGGAGCTGTACCTGGGACCAGTTGCAGGTGCGTGGACTGCACGAGCTCACCCTGAGACTGACACAGTGGCTCACTTCGTGCGTGAGAGGAAAAGTGAGTTTTAAAAATATTTACTGTACCGCAATTTTTTTTGTTAAAAATATATACTGTACCGCAAAAAATGTTAAAAATACTTACTGTACCGCAAAAAATGTCACTTACCCGTCAGTTTTCCAAATACAAATGCATTTGTTTGGAGGTATCTCGTTTTTCATGTTAGTCTGTATCCATATTTAACGTCAACGGCCATAAAGTGACACAAATATGGATATAATTGGTCGCCAAAACACATCTTAACAAACGACCATGGTACAAAGTCCCAACTGCTTTCAATGAGATCATAATTCACTTGCTTTTCCTTGTGCCTTTTCTGATGAACGGCACCCCGATACGTGGATCTAACATTCTTGTAACGACACCAGCGCCATGCCAAGACTTACGAAGAATCAGAGAAACCAGGCTTTATGACGACTGCATGCAGGCCAGACCGCACGAATGGTTGCCAGTGTAATTACGTGTGAGAACCATCGACAGATCACAGCAACGATACCAGGTTACTTACAGCATGCAGTCGTCCTTAAGCCTGGTTTCTCCGATTCTTCCAGGTTTACCAGGATCACCTT